TACCCCATGCATATCCTTTGTTTTTCTATTATTGTCATGAATAAATTGACATACTTTCAACTGATCGTTTATCGGCGATTAATCAGTTATGATAGATCAATTAGTATCAAGAAACATGTTAACAATTAAATAAAGTTTAAAAGGAACGATCAAAATTATGAAAGCCAAATAATATGATTATAATTATGTCTCCGTACAATGAAAGGGGTAAATTTGCATCTCATATATCCCATTATCAAAGAAAGTGCATTTATTATTAATCTCTTTTGGGGTATCATTGTCAAAAATAGAACTGAATCTGCATGAAATACTTGCTGCTGAACGTTTATTAAAATTGATCAATCGTTATCAAGAAACATCTACACAAATAATTAATAAAAGGTAACGACAAAAGAAAAGTCTAATATTAAAATTAACTAAAAAGGAAGTAAATGTTCATCTCATATATTCCTAATGTCTAGTTATCAAGCCCAAAAATACATTTTTCCGCCCGAAATGTATGATGAAAGATTAATGACTAGATATTAGTTAGAATTATCCATCCATTCTTGCAGTTTTTTTTATAGCAAAAGGGAAGCAACTCTTCCATGTCGCTATGTCTTTCCACAGAGAATCCATAATTTTAATTAAATCGTTCGTACTGATTTAATCATTTGTAACAATCGCCTAGTGAAATCTCTCTCAGGTTAAATTAACCTTTATACATGGTTGAAAACTAATAATAAAATCACATCATTTCTTATCAGGCCACTCAACAATAAGACATGACCGCTTATTACATGCTATCGAACTATAAATTTGACTTTATTAACCACGCTAACGTAAACAACGTTCTTTAAAATATCGGTCACTGCCATTTAAGGGTTAAAGCACGCATCTATTGAGAGAGAAAGTTTATTACCAATTTAAAGAGATATTTGTAAATCTTGAAATAAGCGAAACGTTATCAGATCTAAGAGATGGTCATTTAACGCTCCACTTTAAGAAATATTAATCATAAAAGTGCTACTAGGATACAAACAAAGTTTGGATAGTTAATTGCCAGGTAAGCTTGATTAATTTTCGGTTTGCTTACTTTGAAAAAATAAGTAGTAATTTTCTAAAGTTAACTGTTGAACAAGAGTCAAAACAACAAAACAAGTAATAGGGTTAGTCAACGCCCATTCATCTTTTGTGGGGCATTGGTTTTTTTTTCGGGACTAACATTGTTTAAAATTTATTAAAAAGGACCGAACAATTTCTTTCATTGAAATGCAGGAACGAGAATAATTTACATAAAACTCAATGTTGATTTTATACAGGTATCAAACAATCTATCTAAAAAAAACAACATGTCTTTCCACATGAAATACGAATGGTCGGTGCTATATAGGACAATGAAATATACGAGACAACTATGAAAATACAAGGATACGTTTCTGCTTATTCTTTATATATTATATATAGATTCCATCACTGAAACACGTGTGTTACGATATTTCTCCACTCGAGACAGTTAAATTTTAATATTTAAAGCGCGAGGCTTGCCGAGCTTTAAAATAATTAAAATTTAACTGCTAAGAGTGAAAAAATATCGTAATACACGAGTTAGATAGTGGAATCTGTTTCTCTAATGATTTTTATCTTTCCTGTTCAAAGATTTGCAGAAAGTTGTGTTCTTTATATGTGACGTCATCAGGCATGACCGTCTTTTTTCAGGACGTCACAATAGGAAAGTCAGATGAAATCAAGACAATTTAACTTCATAATTAATTTTCGACCAATCATTTGCTGAGAACAGATATTTCACTAGTGAGGAGAAATATTTTTGTCACACCGCTTAAGAAATGTGAAGATAGCATAAAAATTTGAGAAAGTATTTTCGTCAAGCACTTTCCTATACAGATGTACATATGACTTCCGTCTAAATGAATAATCGAATCGAGTGTTTAGAGTTCGTATCTTCCAATCACACAGAAGTTTTTTTTTTTACTCTGAAATCCCTAACAAAACAGAAGAAAATATCTAAAGCCAATATACTCTTAGTAATTTAAACAGTAGATTTTCACGCTTCATTTGCAGTCTTTTTCCTAAAGTAAAGTATATACAAGTATTTTGAAAACCTGTGAACCTTTCGTTGTAAAACTATATCTTCGGCTGTTGTCTGCTCTATGGTCGGGTTGTTGTCTCTTTGACACATTCCCAATTTCCATTCTCAATTTTATTTCCTTGTTATGAGACAAGAAAATGGTCTCGGACCTCGTTCTAAATATACTTTTGAAACCCTGTATACCGATACAGCCAAACAAAAAGGCGTGAACAATGCGAGTGTTGTGTCTTTTCTTCTATGTTCAATTATCCCTTTGTATAGAAAATATGTTTTTAAGATTTAAGTTACATTTAATTTCATTCCATTAAAAGAGCATGATATGTAATATGTTAGTCAAATATAATTTAGTTTTTTTTTCATTTTTACTTCATTTAAATGATGTTTTATATATTGAGACCATACTCAAAACCATGTATTGCTTTAATGAGACAATTTTAATTCATAATTATACAGTTCACAAAATGATTTATTAGCCAATTGCACCAAGATTCTGCATACGCCTTCTTTTGATCTTCATCAAGCGTTGTTCATTAAATGCAACATTCGTTAGTGTATAAATACATAATGTGCAACAATATTTTTTTTCTCAAAACTGATTAAAAAATTCATTTTTGCATATAAATGATATGATTTTTCTGATATAATATCAAACATTTGTATGTGTCTTTGATGCCGAACCTCCCACGTTATACCGATAACGCCTAACGAATCTATTTTCAATATAACATTTGAAAATAAAACTTTAAAAAAAAACACGAAAACAACTCTACCTTGATAATGTAAGAGTCAGTTACCGATATCTAGGTGACAAAAAAGTTCACTGAAGTCTTCGTAAGAGACACGTAATGTTATGTTCTATACACATCCATGATGGTTATGCGAATGAAAGGCGCTGTTTAGTATACGTCAATGAAACAGCAACCCCACTACATAAATAACAAGAAGACATGTAGAGGTAAACGCAGTCTTTAACAAAACAAGTTGTATAAAAAATGTAAATAATATAAACAGAAACTATCTGCCACCAAAACCGAATTCAAAGTCATAAAATTTTTTAAGGATGTTCGCTTGTCATGTTTTGGATTTTTTTTCAGATTTTCGGAATCCTCTAGTTTTATCCATGTGAATGCCTTAAAAAATTTTGCCCATTGACCCCCATTTAATTTTTTATAAATCTTTCACATGTATAATTATAAGCCATCTGTAAAAGTATAATAAAATCTTTGTTATTTTTGAATAGTTTTTGAGAACTTGAACTTTTCAATGATAAGGCTATGAAAAACCAAGAGAGAACACTTTCCCGCCAAAATTTCAATGGCTAATATCTCGAAAACAAGCACATCGACCTATTTTTTGTTGTTGCTCTTTTGGTTCCTTTAATAATCCCTTATCAATTTATACTAGTGTTATGAAAAGCGTGTTATTTTGAAACTGAGTAGTGAACCTCCTTAAATAGATCCAAAATACTCGATACTCTTTCAGTACAACATACATGTACACACAATTCTTAAAAAGAGACAAAGAATGTAGGCATTATTTATATGTTATAACACGACTTCGAGAAATTCCGGATATCCTCGGCAAATTTCAGAAGTAGCAATACAATTATTATTAGTCAATGTGACCAGTTAATTGGGATTCAAATGACCTTTTCATATCGGATTTGTTTAAACCACGTACAAATCGACTTTGAATAATATGGAACTCTTTTTCTCAGGTGGAACGCCTGGACCCTTTTAAAGTTTTTAAAAATATATATGTGCCTACGTCAAAGTAACATTCTTTGTTCTTGGATAAATTACATACACCTTTGTTCAAGTTTTAAATTAAATTACGTTTGTATTAGTTTTTCAGCTATGTAGCTTTGACATTAAAAAGTAACTTGGTATCATAAATCAACAATTTTGCGTCATATTTTTATCTGTTTTGCTTGAATTACATTTTTATACTTTAATATTTTATGTTTTTGATGCAATTAAATGGTTTTCGATTCATTTATATTCTGAAAATTAATTGGTGAATATGTTATTTTTAGAATCAATATTAATTTATACAAAGCTTCTTTTTTTCATTTTTCAATCACTTCCGAGATTACTTAGTGCAAACAAGTAGTTATTAAATTCTAGGGAGGTACAAAAAGGGACATTGCATTGTAATTTATGATGAATATGGCTAAAAATCAAAATATAAAAAAATATTATTTAAAGTAAATATAATTTCTGTTACTTATTGTTTTATTGTGCATATGTGTTGGTACCCTGTGGCTGAATAGTTTGTATTTGAAGGACGTTTTAACCGTCTTGGCCTCCAAAACTCATCAATTACCGCCGTCAGCTTTGTTTCTTTTTTGTAAATTGATCAATGGCGTCATGTCAGTTTAACTTTTGGAATATAAATACTAGTTTTCCTTTTTATTGATATGTTCAGTGTTTAACATCAGTAAAACTTTCTACTGTAATTTAACGTTCAAAATAGCAATTAAATCGGCTAATAAATTACACACCCAACTGAAACTGATATTTTATGTGGTTTCTTGTGAATTTCTAATTTTCATTCACTGTTGCGACGTTTTTGTAAAGAACACTATTGCCGTAATTTAGTGTCGTAAAATTTTATTTCTTATAAAAAAACATCATTAACAAGACGGATATATACTTTTAAAGTTAAACTACTTTAAATTTACATTTATTTATTTGATTGAAATGAGTATTTTGTAAGCCACTAACTACGTTGTTGATGTTGAATGAACGAGGTATTACAGCTTTTATGTGCTAGTCGGACGCATTTTGTTAATTGAATCTTTCTGTCAGCAGACTTGTTTTGTGGAACAGACTTATGAATTTTTAGAAAATTGTAACAGATGTTATTTCAAAATACGTAAGACCTGCAATTAAATATTCTTTCATTCCAGAGGAAGAAATTCAAAGCATTGAACAGAGAGAGCTAACGGAAAAACTCGCAAAATTGAATGCCGAAGTTGCCCGAGCGAACGCGGAATTATCCGAAGCTATCCGACTATCCGTAGAAACAGAACGTACTGCTACAGCAGCACAAGTCTACGCACAAAGAGCAAAAGACGAAGCGCAACAAATTGAGGAAGAGATCGAATTAAAAAGGAATCACGAAGCTAAGAAGAAAGTGGAAGAAGCAAGAAAAATGGAGGAAGCTATTCAAAAGCAAGAGGAAGAAGAGAGAATGATAGAACAAGCCAAACAGGACAAAGAAGCAGAATGGAAAAGAAAGGAATCAGGATATGTGGAGAAAAGTGCAGTTTGGGAAAAGTGGCCTACATTTGAGTGAGTACATTTGATACATGTATTTGATATAATACTAATGACATTAAGTTGCTTGGGAAATGTTAGCCTTGGGTCATATGTAAAGGACACGAATGTTCAGGTAAGCAAGGATCATAACTCCAAAACGATAGATATCCGATTTGGATATTTTTTTCATGTTCCATGGGGGACCTCGGTGGCCAAGTTGTGTAAGTACTAATAGTTCATTTTCCGTATCACTAGCATGTCAACACTGAGGTTGTGAGTTTGAAAGATGCACGTGGCAGGTGCACGGTGCGTTCGACTCTAATCTTAAATTACTAGGATTGCCAATTTCCCCGCCGAAGATTGGAGGTTCTCTGCGGTCACTCCGGTTTCCTCCGCCAATAAAAACTTACCGCCACGATATAGCACACAAACAAACAATCAATCATGGTACACGACACTGTAAAAATTTAGCAAATGGTACTATTATGATAGAAAATGAATGACGTATGACACATCTAGGCAGGCTAATTGCCTTACTAGAGATTACGAGCTTGATTTACCGTATCGACAAGTCAATTGTTTTTTTATGAAGATCTCTTGATGTCATTTAGGTAGTTTTTGTTTTTGTTTTGCCGAATACCCCACATCTCCTTTTATTCCTATTCTAAATATTTTAAAATAATCAAATAAGGTGTAAAGACTTCTTTTAAAATTTATAAGAAGCCTATATAGTTTTTCAGAAGGAATAAAAATTAACAAATTCTTGTTCATGTTGATCAGGTCGCTCTTTATAAAAATCTTACGATTAAAATCAATTAGAGGTGAAACTGAAGTTTGTTTTTATGTGAAGTATATTTTGTGAAAAAAAAAATTGTTTCATATAAGGCCACTTAAGATTAATTAATAGATTTTCATCCAAGCCCCTCTGAAATCGTCCGGCCCCGATTTCTTTTATTTTTGAAAATTTACGATTTCCGGATTTTGTTCATTTCCGTTATCGGTAACAGTCGATAGTTTAGTTTCATTCAAAACTTCCTTTTGCAAATTTCGGTTTTCGTATTTCTTTGAGTAATTTAACCTAAAATGATTAAGTCGAAATATTCTGCTGCTCTATGATGACAACAGTATCTTCTGAGAATAGAGATTGGTTACGGAAGAACATGAAATACTCGGGTTACGAGTAATAGGCGGTATCTAATGATTTGAAAACCGTGAATTTTTTTTATTTAAACAATGACTTTGTGCCAGGATTAACATTTTGTACGACAGACGCGCGTTTCGCCTACAAAAAGACTCATTTGTGACGCTCGAATCAAAAAGGTGAAACAGGCAAAATTAAATACGAAGTTGAAGAGCATTGAGGACCCCAAATTTCCAAAGGTTTTGTTAACCTACCTAAGGTAATCTATAAAAAAATGAGGGGATATCTTTATTTGCCAAAACGACAACTGTCATTCAAAAAGATCAAAAGGACAAGGGAATAAAATGTACAAAAGTTTCTTCAACAAAATGCAAACCACTACCGGTCTAACTGTATAGTAAGCTTTGTTGACGAAATGTGAAACAGTTCACAACCTTGATTGATTGATTGATTGATTGATTGATTGATGTTTATTGCCACTTTCAGCACGGTTTGCTACTTCGTTGCGTTCAGTATTTTTGTTGGGGGAGCCGGAGCTCCCGGGGAGAACCACCGACCTTCGGTAGGAAAACAGACAATCCTAGTCATTTAAGATTGGAGTCGAGCGCACCTGCCACTTGCGGGATTCGAACTCACAACCTCCGTGTGGACAGCTATTGCTACAGTAGTTCGACTACTTTTTCTCGATCTTGAAATTTTTTTATTCAAATATGTACAATAAAAAATCACCAGACAGTACCTGTTGTCAAAAACACACAGTTATATGAAGTCACCTAAAACAATATCAAAAGTAATTATACAAAAGTTTAAATATGTTAATTCTATTACATATCAACTAGACTTAGTATAGTTTAGAATTAGTACAATATTTCTGCATGGTTATCTGTTACTTTAATAACAGGATTGTCTGATATAAAATATTTTTTAATGATAAATGTGTTTTTCTCAGATTTAAAAGATAAAAAAAGTGAGAGATATATTTTTCTAACAAAGTTTTAAAATAGTCTACTAAATTGAGTTTAGCTTGAGGATCCAACAATACGAAATTTCTTCTTTTATAAATACTCAATCTTGCTATACTCATATTAAAATTTGCTACTAAGACCACTCGGCCACCGAGGCCCCCAATTCGCATGAAAAAACCTTACGTTTGATTCATAGGCAATTATCGTCAATATGGAAAGAGAACAAGAAGAAATCAGTTTATTAATTTTTTTTTTTTTTGGCTGTTAAAACACATGACTTTTGATTTTTGACTTTTGAAACATTATAACGACCAAACGGCCTGTATTAGAGGTATAAACAACCTTTGTTAATATATAACACTAATCTAATTTAATTTCTATCGGAAAAGAATGCATCTATTGCTTAATATTTACTAATAAAAGTCAAGTCACGAAACCGAATTCTTTGACATTTATTAGGTTAATAAAAAATTTATGGACCAAAAGATAAAAGTTTTATAAACATGAATTGAGGTAACCAATCTTCTCCACAAAGGATCGATTCTCCTTGATGTTGACTAAAAAGCAATGCGGACTTCTCGTCCTTTACCTCATCATGGCAACGTTAAAGTACATTATATAAAAGGGAATTGCAAATCAATTATTCAATCTTTTTTAACCAAAGTCATAACAACAATAGGCATGCAATGAATTAGTGTAGCTGTTTATTCTCGCAGAAAAAAGTTTTAATTTCTTTTAGATTGTTTTGATATTGTCACAATTGTAAATAATAAAAACAATGCTTTCTTCGTGTCTGGAGGCTTTCTGAATAATTAAAAAAAAACCAAATCATTTGCATAGATTGATAATTTTGTTTTATTTCAAATCAGATATTTACCACCATATTTATAATAAGACACATTTGTCAATGAAGTACTTTAGGCAGCTAACTTTTTAATTCATTTACAAATTGAAGTTATTTCAGAAGTATCATAACATATGCTTATGAAAGAAATTAGATTAGCTTGTTTCATTTTAGTTAACTGGAGAAAATTTTGTTGGTTGAAAGTCCTATCTTAAAAATCAGCATAATTCAACCGTTCTTTTGCTTTCATTATCTACAGATAAGAAATAAATGAGTTCGTATTTTCCTCTATTAATCAGTCACGCCTTTTATTTCGCGTCACGTAACATCAAGCTCGATAGAACATCAGACAATCCAGTACTGATAATGAGAAGTTGATTGACTGCTCCCTTTTAAACGTCCAGTGGCAAATGTTTTAAATTAAAGCAAATTCGAGGTGAATGTCAATGAGATAGCAAGTTAAAGACACAAGATAGAGGTCAAGGTCGCCTTTGTGTAAAAAAGTTTCAAATAAGCTTAGCAGAGACTTCTGATGATATTCCACCAACATCGAATTCTCCTCCCCTAAAAAAACAACAACAAAAAAATCGAAGAAAAACCCAAACAAACAAAGACAAAAGTCAATTCAACACTGACGATGTTCCTTACTTGTATTTCTCTATAATTAGGTAGATGCAGATGGTACATGCTAAATTTCCTTTTGATGTTTTATGTTCGCATTTTTATTGTTTTATAGAATTGTACTAGAAAATGGCGACGTTGGTTGTGTAGTCCGCGCCAGTCCTGGCCACTTCTCTCCTGATAATGTCCAGTTAGAACCGGTTAGTCAGCTGAATTGCAATTTGACCTATGGTCCACAAGAAGAGCTCGTCAGCAGTATACTGCGGTTGTCACCGACTACTGAAAATGACAAACTGGATGTAAGTGGCTTAATAATCATAATGATATTACATGTATGTTTCATACATATCAGTACTTTTGATTGGCTGACAAGAATCGAGAGGCATTCCAAATGAGATTATATTTCCCAATAAACTTCTACATTCGCGACAGCTTGTGCTTCCCGTGACAACGTCACAATGCATAGAAAAACAAACGAAACATTTGTTATAACAGATTATTTGATGGTTTCATGGGGTGTACAAGCGTTGAGCGTGTGCACATTTTTAATAAATGTACTGTCAACGCTTTTACACCCCAATAAAATTACAAAATGAAACATTCAGTTATTAAGTAAGATGGTTTGAATGATGTTGTTTGTGTAGTACTTTTTTTTTAAATTATTTTTAAACACAGTTGCGAGACGAGATCTGTTTTACGATAGGTATATACTGAATACAGTTAGCATATTTAGTATATACATATGTATTAAAATCTCGTCTCGCACCTGTGTTATTAAAGAGTAAAACGAGATGTAAAGTATATGCCAGCAAAACCACAACACAAAATAGAAGATATATTTACTTATTTATTAAAGAGGGAAAACAAATCTCGTCTCACACCTGTGATATTAAGAGTAAAACAAGAGTTAAGGTACAAGCCAGCAAAACCACAACACAAAACACACGATAAACTTACTTATTTATTATTTACCGTACACAAAGTTTTAGAGGAGAAATCTCGTCTCGAACCTGTGTTATTAAGAATAAAACGAGATGTAAGGTACAAGCCAGCAAACGTGACAACAACACAAAATATATGATGTGTTTACTTATATATTAGTATTAGATACACCTTGAGGGCGTAAGACAGCCCGAATGGGTGTATCTAATTTCCACCAATATATTATTGTCAATGCAGAATGATAGTTTTCAATAATTTAGGAGGGGGTCTTTCAGCGATTTGACCATATGTTATTGAAAAGCATGATAAATGCAGAGTATCCAATTTCAAAACATTTAACGAAATTTTTGTGTACATTACATAAAGGTTATAGAGGTAGCAACAAGTAATTTATTAAAAATAAGTAGTAAACAAATCTATGAATGAAAGTTCTGTTCAATTTTTTTTTAAATTAAGAAAGTTGCATGCAGTTGCATTTCGATTTTTTTCTCTCACAATTTCACTTAGTTTTTGATAGCTGCTTGACTGAATTCATCACCTCAAATGCGCTTTTTAATGACAGGTGCGTTTTAAATATGCGACAAAGGTGCAAGTAATATTTACTTAACGATTGAATCAAGACATGTTCGACAGCTTAAGCAAATAGTAGCGTGACATAAAATCTTGGTAATTTATATCTAAATAGTTAACTGTTGTATACTCCTCCTTTAGAGTCAAGTTCAAATTAATGTATACGCATAAACAATGGAGTTTTGTATTTTGTGATTTGACCGATTTTTGTAAGGTTAGATAAAAGGTTGTTTTTAATGTCAAGAATAAATATGATCGTTTTTTGTTAAATTCACACGGCACAGAGACTTTCATTTCAATTATATATTGAAGAATTAAGGGCAAATTTGACTGCTAACCCTTTTCAAGGAATATGTAGAACCGTCCTTGTAGTCCCGCGCCTGGTTGTTAAAAAGAAGATTTTACTAGGAAAATGAGATTATTATTCAACGATACAAAAAAAAAAGAAGGAAAAAGGTCAATCCTAGATTAAAATCTTCTGGTCAAAATACAGAAAATTGTAAACACCACAATCATTTGTCCAGACCCTAATCCTCATATGATAACAACCATTGATGAGCTCGGACCCGTTTCTCGGTTTTTATCTAATTTTGTCAGTGTAAAAGTATTTTATTAAATAATTTGTAATGTATTGCTTCAAGAGTAAATAAATACGAAATATACAAGTAATTAAAAAAAAAAATGGGACTACGAAACAAGAGCAGTGCTGTTTTATTAATCTATCTTCCTAAGTTTAAAAATGAAATTACGAAACTATATTACATACTAACGAATATGTATACGGTAAAATATACAGTTAATGAATACAATAATCTTAATAAAGTTCATTTATTTTATTGGTTGTTATGCCTAAATATAGCACGCGAGAAATAAGGGTGTTTGGAAAAATGACTGTTATTATAGAAAGTGACAACAATTCTTTGTTAGGGAGGAGTGAATAGAATTATTATATTGTGGATGTAAGGAGATTGCTACTCATAATAAAGTTTTGTGCAGCTTTGAATATAAATGTGTTTTGATCTACTATTAATCTATCGGAGCCAACAATGAAAAATATTTTTGGAAATTCTAATAGGAGTTCCTATGTGTCTTTTACGAGGACCCTTTATGCTTTGTTATATCGGTCAGTTGAAGAATACCAAAGCGTACAGTGAAAACGATGCACAAAAAAAAACTACATGTCGTCCTGCGAAAGAACGCATGTCAATTAAACGGAGGACCTTGATGCGAGTGGTCGAAGTAGTTCATTTAAAGTGATTACTAGTTTTTACAACATTAAAGTCGTGAGTTCGAAACCCGCTCGTGGTGGTGTGTTCAACTTCGATCTTAATTGACTGGTATAACCGTTTTTCTGCTGAAAGTTGGTGGTTGTCTCTGGGTACTCCGGCTTCCAACCTAAACATAGCTCATGTACTGGATGTTCGGACCAATTTCTTCTAAACAAAATAATTAGATTGAAGGAAACATTAACATAATCTGTATTACGTAATGTACTTGTGCATCTATTAAATTTTTGATCAGGCAGAGTTCCTATACCAAAACATGGACTTTGCCCTTATATATTATTATTTCACCCCATCCGCAACACCTCCTAAAACACTGAATAGATTTCAATAAAACTTTGGCAACATTTTCATGACATAATGCCAGTGTGCAACTCCTATTATACTTTATGATCAGAATGATTTTTGGGGTTTCCCAAACCAAAATGTGGACTTTTTGTATCCGCAACTCCTCCTAAACACTATCTCACAATCTAAACCATATAATGATATTGTGCACCTCCATTTGTTATCTCAATGTTTTTTTTATGTTTGGCTTTTGAATTTGCAAGGGAAAGGGGTTTCTTTTGGTGAGCCTTGCTCACAGCGCTTCTAGTTATTCTACTCACTGAATTGACTCAAGTCTTTGTTGTGTGTACAGTTTAACCTTGCTGACATTTCTTATTTTGGTGCTAGTTAATTGTGGATAGTAAGGGCAATTTGTACACGTTCATGATTAAGTTTGTTGTTTGTGGTAGAAGCAGTTTACTGGAGATGTCTCTGTTGACAGTCCTGATTGAAAGTTGTTGTTTATGGTGTATTGTCATGCTGCGTTTATTAGTAATCGCTTACTAATCTTTCTAAATGAATAGTTTTTGTTGTCTCCTGCTTTTGAAAAAAGTTTTTAAAAAACATATCAAAATTATCATTTTTATTCTAGGTCCCTGTTTACATATGTGTACCTTTCACTTTATCCCGAACAAGCGCACATTCGAGGGAACCATTCATTAAAGCAGAAATTAACGGAAGATGGAGTGACCTTGAGACCAGAGAAGTTACGTTTGACCATCATAAGGTAAAAGACAATGTTTAATTTTGTGTAAAACTATTGTTTAACTAGTTATACTAATATTTTAATTATTTATTTAACACATTGTCAAACCTCTTTTTGATAGTAATCTCTAATCATATATTAAACTGTCAAGGGCATCTTTAACCAAGGTTTAATTACGGGACCGCGTGGTACCTTGTCCGCCTCGAGTGCAGAACGTCGAGGGTTTGATCTTCGACGATGTTAAATAATGGTATTTGATGCTTCCCCGCCTAGCACGCGTCATTAAGAAGTAACAGCAAGACAAAGAGCTCGGGCACAGAATAATGTGACATGTCTCGATCCCTACAGACCGCTACCCTGTGAACTAGCACGTTAAAATATCCAACCCACATGTCGGTCTATTACAAAACAGGATGCATATAAACGGGATGCATATTCATATCGTTTTAACATGTTCTCGTCAAGAATGTGTGTTTAATTTATCAAAGGACATTATGAACAACCATGATCCATCATCATCATCATCATCTTACCATGGACGGTAATGTAAACTCACATGCACGCGCATTTGAGATATATGTTATATAAAAAGGCAAACTTTTAAATTCTTGTCAAGGAGAGAGGCAGACGATACCAAAAGGATATTCAAACTCATTAGTCGAGTACATACTAATGTCATGGCAACAGAAGCTACCAAAAGATAAACAACAGTCTACAAAACACAACATAGAAAACTAAAGACAGAGTAACACGAACGGCATAAAAAAACCCGGATGTGATCGCATTTCTACATGTGCTTCGGAAGGGCTAGTAGATCCTGCTCCAAATGTGACACCCGTAGTATTGTTAAATAATCCAAAGGCATTTGAAAGCAAATGCATTTCCCAATATAACTTAAAAAATAATATGTATTCTCTTGTTTTTATTTTAAGGAAGCGAAATTTGCGCAAGCAGAGCTTAAAACCTTTGCGAAGTTTGCTGTAATGACAAGACTGAAGAGAGATTATATAACTTTTTCAAAAAGAACAGCTAAAATTGCGTCATCATATGATCAGCGTGTTACACTAACTGTACCCAAAGAAACCTTTAAATCAAGGGAACACGTTCTCCTACAGGTACGTATGTATAGATACTAATGGCAAGGTTAGGGTAGGGGTTTTGTTAGTCTGTTCAGTTTTTTGCCCCACCGTAAATTGGGACCACCAGGGATTTTTTCGGGATTAAGTACCGAAAAATGCAAATAAAAACTTTAGAGTGGGCGTTTTTGGCATACTAATCTAGGTAGGAAAGGAAGCCTTAAACACAAATGTTTTTGTAATTTTCATTCTGACATAATTTGCATAAAATGAAGTTATATCAAAAGAGGTGGAACAGAAGGAAATAGATCACCATAGTGTTTTAACAAATTGGTAAAATTCTAAGGATCATATACATGTATCAATCTTTAAAATCCCCCCAAAATGCACTCAATATAGGACTATTTATATACTTGTATTTCATATTAAAAACTTTTATTATCTATGTAGTTCATGTTTTGAAAACTTTTAAAACAACATTTGGCAATCTTAAAAGACCCAAATTAACATTTGAATTTGTTTGTCATACACAATGATATACAAAATTCGACGTAATCTTCTTTTTCGTTTGTGGCTTCAAGTGATAGAGAAAAACATTTTTCCAGATATAGTTATCATATGATAAAGGAGCCATACTAAGTCTTATTTTAAAAGGTTGTAGTTCGACAATGTAAACATGAAAAAATATATGGGCGACACATATTGCTGCAAATGAATGTTCTACTTGACCTTATAACGTTTTGTTGTTTAGCAAACTTTTTTTTTTATCTAAGAACATAATTTATGGTACATTCTTACAACTTCAATATTACATATTTATAAAGTATTGTCATAGCTAAGTACGGAACATGCACTGTTTACTCTTCCGGTTAATGAAAGGGTTCTTGTCACTCAATTATGAATTCTTTTGTGAGGGTCTGGATGGGGTTTACAGAAAAGAAAATAATGGGCAAAGAGTGCAGCATGAAGGGCAAAACAGTAAATTATAGAGAAAAAAAGGAAAACAATATAAAGAAAAGAGAATAATGGGCAAAATAAATAAAGACTAGAGAAAAATAGTCTAAAATATTTAGAAATGAAGGACCCCTATCCTGACCATAATGTGTCAGAACAAAGACACTGAAATCAAAATTGAAAAAGAACTGTTCCCTTTCCCTTAGAGTAATAATTGTCTGTTGATATGTAAAGACGCAGTAACCAAAATTTATTTATCTATACTATGACAAAACTGTTTGAATTTTGTCATCCTTGATGTACCAGTTGAATGTTAATTTCTCTAAGAGTAATACATGTCTGTTGAAATGAAGAAACGCAGTAACCAAAAGTTATTTATCTATATTTGACAAAACTGTAGAATTATTTCATCTTTGGTGTACCATTTGACACCGTATATCATCGGTATTTATATTGTAAAGATAGATATGTTTTGCAATTTAATTGCAAGGAAAAGAATTTTATTTTTTAAGGTTCAGCCTGTTGATTCTACCACCATACATGAACTGCAACAGAAGAAGCCAGAATGTAAACACATCCTCACGTCAAGTCCCATCATCAAAATAGCATGGGAAGGAGCCGACATAGTCAAACCAATAACTGTGAGTGTCTTAAATTTGTTTTATTTTTGTATTTTTGTATGATTTGATTCCCCTTGGGTAATACTCCAGATCAAAGTCAAAATTTACTGCCATTAAAAAAATAACGATTGACACATATTCATCTGACGTCTCTCATGGATTTCCGTAGCCTAACTACACAAGAACAAACTATAAAAATCAATTGAAAAGGCATGACTTATTGGATTGCCAAGCCCGGTAGGCCAAATTATACGGATCATCTTAATGGGATTTACACTTTTGAGAAAGTTTTAAACAGTATATTGAACAATATTAATTAATAGATTATTAGCGGCGAATTTATAGATTCAATGCGTAAATGGAGACTATTTGAAAAATCCTGCAATAGTTGAATTCATGCATGAATTCGATGATGGTTATATAAGTTCTTAACCGTCCTTTGTAAAATCATCAAAAAATAAGGTTAACTCATTATTGATACCAGACTTAAAATTTTGAACGCCAGACGCACGTTTTGTCTACAAACGACTCATCAGTAACGCTCAAATCAAAAAGATTAAAAAGGCAAAATAAACTCGGTACTAAATTGAAGAACATTGAGAATATAAAATTCCAAAATTCTGTAATAAACACTGTTATTTTCTATCAACTTCTTGTCATAATTTCTTATAAAATGACATCGTTCCAGTTATTTTTCCAATTTTATATTAAGAAAGTGGTTCACAGAAGTTTTTTTTATTTTTTAAGGTAACGATCCCATGCCCACCAAATCCAGCAAAGGCAAGAAAGATTGCCCAAATGAGAAAAATGAAAGAGGATAAGATGAAACAAGCTCGACCAGTCATCGTTACGTATGACGAAGAACAAGAGAAGAAGAGACTTCTAGAAGAAAAGAAGAAAAAGTACCAACAACAGCAAGAAGAAGCTATGAATGAATTGGAAGAAAAGAAAGTTCAGACAAAGTGGTATATGGGAGATTATGCGCATACAGATGGTAGGTTTCACTAATCTTCGGTTTTATTGAATTTCTATTGGCGTTTTCATATCTCATTTAAACGAACTTTTTTATAATACAAATTTTCATATGTGGAAAAATATCCCCGAATCAACATGTGCCTTTCAATGTCAAATGAAATTAATTTTTTAATTCGATCAATTATCAGTATTTCTCAGTTTTTATCGGAGTCCAGTCTGAATATATATTTGTTTGAGTCTAAAAATTCAGAAAAATTGTAGATGATTGTATAAACCGTTTCACTGTATTATTGTTGGGTCGTAAAAATAAAACATTTTTACATATTTCTAGTTCATAAAGTTGTTTAATATTAACCATTATAAAACTACAATTGCAACTCTAACGGGCGGGTTTTACGTCAGACATTGTAGCTGTTATCTTGGAACCCTTTTAATTCATATTCTCACAAACGTTAAAAATTTGTGGCTTTCCAAACTATTTCAACATTTCAGCGAACCTGACAAAGGTCATTAAGAAACTTGTTTAAAAGTGTTTTTTTTCGGTTTCAAGCTTTTTGAAAGACTGTAAATGAATAGTATATATATAATGGAACTTAAAAGCAGAAAAAAATGAAAGATCCGTTTCCTTGTTTTTGAGGTATAATCAATTGAATATTTGGCGGGAAATGATTCTTTCTATATTTTTCTTACATTTAACATTGGCATCTTTTTTCCTTCAAAAACAATGAAAAAATAACAAAGATTTTATAAGATTTTCAAAAATGGCTTTTTAAATATATGTTATGAAATTATGAAAATCAAAGTAGGGGTTAGTGGGCATTTTTTAATGGCACTACCTTAATAACGTTAGAGGATTCCAATTATCTGACAAAAAGTCAAAAACAAGAGTAATGAACATCTGTAAGATATTCTTGATACAGGTACAAATGTATAGTACGTTTTTACATTTAATTTTGCCGTTTGTAGATGATGAGAACGATCTACTTTATCTTTTGACACAATCATCCAATGGTAAATGGACAGTTCTTGAGAACATACATATTCATCAGATAAAGCTAGATTTACTACAGTTTGATATGACAAAACCATTAGATAGGTAAGAACAATGTTCATAAATAGCTTAAATCCACGTCATTTAGACACTGGTGTGTTAGTTATCTTATTAGGCGGGCAATCATACCACATCTCGATATTTAGTATAAAGTTTAAATTAAAGTATTGAACAATATATTTTGTATAAACAAGTAAATTACGACAATACATGGTTAGTTTTACGATTCTGACTTATCAGATTTTTTTTTAGTGTCAAGCGCACAGTTTTCATTAGCATATGCTCTTTAAGTTATTGTTATATCTTTTGTACAAGGTTTTCAAGGTCTGCATTCTTCAGTTTGAGTTTGAGAACTATGACTCATATAAAGAAAGAAGCACATAACAAAACCAATCATGTCGTAAATTAACCAATCCATATGTCTATGATCATCCTGACTACACTTGACCGATTTTACATCTTGCCGCATGTTTTTACCGTTTGTCCATTATGAAATTGTGCATGACAGTAAATTCTCTATATAGATTTCTCTATTTGTCACACGTACATGTATGTAGTTCGTTCGCTATATAGCTGCCTTTAATACATAACTAGCATGGTTTAACATAAATCTGGCCATTGCTTTTTGCATTTCGAATCGTTTTACCATTTGTCACGGCGAGCCATTTAAAGCTACCTATACGATTATAGGATTGACTCATTGCTGGAGGCAATCACTAGCCAGTCAACACTGAGGTTGTGAGTTCGAACCCCGGTCGTGCGGGTGCACTCGACTCCAATCTTAATTGACTAGGGTTGTCAGTTTTCCTATTGAAGGTCGGTGATTTTCTCCGGGCACTCCGGCTTCCTCCACCAGAAAAACTGGCCGCCACGAAATAGCCCAAAAGCGGTGCTTAAAAGTGGCGTTAAAACACCAAAAATCAAATCAAAATTAAATCATTGCTGGAGGCCATACCTGTTGTTGTTTACATCCTAGTCTTTTGGTCCCTGGTGGATAGTTGTCGGATGAAAAATCATACCACATGTCATTTTGTTTTATATTTACAGTTTCATGGTACTTCGTACCCGTATGAACACACCAGACGATACAGTCGCTCTCATGGCCAATGTAATATCAGAATTCTTATCACAGAGATTTGCACAGGTTCTTGTTAAACAAAGGTATGTTACAATTGACAATACAGTCAATCTGTTAAAAATAAAGATCATGTGTGTCCAAGCTTCGCTAACAAGGATCTGAAAACGCTCCATTCTACTTTCCATTTTAATTAAATTCAGTACGTACTGTGCTAGGCTCTGGTACTTTCAGAACAATGTCGAGACTGATCGGGCTGCAAATTAAATTAACAGACTTTGATTTACTGCAAGAAAAATAATTAAACACGTGATCATATTATCATATTGACTGTTGATCTGAAATTTAGAAATAGATTTACATTTTGTATGTTCTGGCGTTTCTGACATGTCGGTTAAATATTCAACAGAGCTTATGTTATGTCCTTGTTGTGTATGCCTAGCTGACCCTAAATAAAGCTTAACTATTCAGATCGCATTTTGATCAAGATCAACATGGCAATTTCTGTCTAGTCTTTGTTTAGTAGTTTAAGAATGAAATGAATATGACTATATCTTTAATATTTCCAGGAGCGACGATCCTTATGACACACTTATCAGTGTTGTTCCAGCAAACAAGGCACTTAAAACTTCCAAAGAAATGGCGGCGAAAGGATACATTGAAGGTCCTGATCCCAGTCCCGTTATAAACCTCAATGAAGGAGATCACATCGAGATTGCATTTAGAGGGAATATTTGTGACACTACTAACAGACCACCATTATTTGTGTACAATTCAAATATTGTCTCGGAACTGGAAGTTTACCTTTCGGAAGTTGATAAATACTTACAAAAGAACTTCCGAGTGTATCGCGGAAAGATACAAATTTATCGATGCTATTGCGATGTGAAGGACAAAAAAGCCAAACGACAAATGTCTGTTGCAGAGGATATTGCGCAATCTGCCATTGCAGAAAAGATCAAACAACACTTATGTGATATTCCAATAAATATTCCGAAGGTATGACATTTCATCAACTTTGAACTATTTACTAGAGTAATAATCTGTATACAGTCTAACAAAATCAGTTGTCCTATTTTATTTAAGGCTATTTATAAAAACAAACTTATCATAGACTCTCATTGCACCGAATAGTAGTTCTTTCAAGGAAGATGATTTGTATAGACTTAACAGAGAGGCAGAAAATATCAAAGGGATATTCAAACTCATGACAAACTGACAACACCATGCCAAACAACGAAAAACGACCAAAAAGACAAACAACATATACAAAACACAACATAGAAATAAAGACTGAGCAACACGAATCCCACCAAAAACCGGGGATGATCTCAGGTGCTCCGAAAGGTTTAGCAGATCCAGCTCCACATGTGACCTGGTCTGCACATTAAATAAACATTGTACCTAACTTTTGAAAAGAGAAAACATGGACAAATTGATATGGAGAATAGAGAAAAATGGTCTAAAAATTAAAGAATACAGAAATGAAAACCATATTGATATACATTTTTTTTTTTAAATCATGTCTTAATTATACCCCACGCAACGAGTTGCGGAGGGTATAATGTTTTTGACCCGGCCGTCCGTCCATCAGTCCGTCAGTCCGTCAGTCATGTTTCTTGTCATTGCAACTCCTCTCAAACCACACAACAGAATTTCACGAAACCTTTTTAGATAATAAGGCCATACTATGTAGTTGTGCATATCGACAGGAAATTACGATTCAATTCTTTTTCTAGTTACGCCCCTTTGAACTTATTTACTTTAATGTACTACTGCAACAGTTTGTCATCGCAACTCCTCTCAAACCACACAACAGAATTTCATGAAACCTTTTCAGATAATAAGGACATACTACGTAGATGTGCATATCGACATGAAACTACGATTCAATTTTTTTTCCAGGAGGTACGCCCCTTTGAACTTATTTGCCCAATATACTACTGCAACCTTTTGTCATCGCAACTCCTCTCAAACCACACAACAGAATTTCACGAAACCTTTTTAGATAATAAGGACATACTATGTAGTTGTGCATATCGACAGGAAATTACGATTCAATGCTTTTTCTAGGAGTTACGCCCCTTTGAACTTATTTACTTTAATGTACTACTGCAACAGTTTGTCATCGCAACTCCTCTAAAACCACACAACAGAATTTCATGAAACCTTGTCAGATAATAAGGACATACTACGTAGATGTGCATATCGACAGGAAACTACGATTCAATTTTTTTCCAGGAGTTACGCTCCTTTGAACTTATTTGCCCAATATACTACTGCAGCCTTTTGTCATCGCAACTCCTCCCAAACCACACAACAGAATTTCATGAAACCTTTTCAGATAATAAGGACATACTACGTAGATGTGCATATCGACAGGAAATTACGATTCATTTTTTTTCCAGGAGTAACACCCCTTTGAACTTATTTGCCCAATAATGGCAATATACTACTGCAGCCTTTTGTCATCGCAACTCCTCTCAAACCACACAACAGAATTTCATGAAACCTTTTCAGATAATAAGGACATACTATGTAGATGTGCATATTGACAGGAAATTATGATTCAATTTTTTTTTCTGATACAATTTTTTTTCTTACACTTATTTTATTTCTTCAATGACAGTGTGGGGATGTGGGGTATGTGAGCTCGCTCACTAAGGTTCTTTCATTCTGTTTTATTTGTTTTCTTCAGTACAATTTGGAGTCATCGCCAGTTCCAGTGAAAGCACCCGTTACCATAGTAAACGATTCTGATCCAATAAATGAAAATCTAATGCGCTATCTAGCTGTTGAAATGGGAGAGGAATGGCGTCGACTTGCTCAAATACTGAATGTAAGCCGTGCACGGATGCAAGCAATTTTAAGAAATATACAAATCAGCGACGGAACGGAAGAAGATGCACGATATGAGATGTTGATGAGCTGGTTGAAGAAAATGCCAAAGGCAGTTGATAAGGTTAGTGGAATATAGTTTCATAGTCTTTTAAACAATGAAATACAAATTTGGAAAAACGTAAACTATGCTCCTTTAAAACATTACGGTACCTTTTGTGATTCTCAACTACAAATTCAAACTGACTTTCTAACCCCATGAAAATCATGAAAAAGTTGATACAACCACAAACGACATGAAATTACAACTTAACCAAGCTGTGCTACTAATCAATTTCATGTTTTCGGTTTCCAAAACACATATGGACGACATATTTTATACCAATGGCTTTCTTACAAATGGTGCACATTGTTATTTTATATGACACATTAGATTTTGTTTATATACTTCCAATGCTTCAGCAACAATCATTTGTTTATTTTGCAGGTATCTACATTAAATGGTGCTTTGATGAGATGTGGTAGAGACGACTTAACGGAAGAAATACAAAAACGTAACAAGGAGTTCCGAATGCAACATATTCATTGAGTGATCAGTGTAAAAAATAGACATGGTAAACATACATTGAATTTATCTTCACGTGATATTGCAATAGGATCAACCCGCACATGATATTGCAATAGGATTAACCCGCACGTGATATTGCAATAGGATTAACCCGCACGTGATATTTCAATAGGATTAACCCGGGCGTGATATAACAATAGGGTGAATCATCACGTGATATCGCAATATTTACAATATGACTACTTTGCTTACACTAGCGTTTTTTTCTTGGGAACATTAAAGTAACAGAGGTATCACCTTGAGAGACTAGAAGTTGAAACATGAGGTCTGGTTGTAGTTCATTAGTAATGAGTATGTTAGATAAGGACCTAAAATGGACCCTATTTTTAACTACAATTTCAAATAAGAATTTATTGACCAAAATTACAATGATTCATAGCTAAAGCAAAGACTAGATAGGAAACATGTCTTTTCGTTTAAAATTCACGTGCTTGTGTTCTATTCATGACGTCACAAATAGCACTCGTTTTGGTTTTTCTCGAAAATTCAGTGAAAACGAGTAAATTTCAATTGATTGTTTTGACATAGAGCGCATGCGTTGACAAAAAGATCTTTTAATATAATGTTTGCTATAACATTTTACATATTTAACTTGAATATCTAGTTTATTGACTCGTGCTCTCTATGTTCCCTAGGCCTGAATCTGGTCGAAATCTGGGAGATTTTGTCAAATTTCGCAAAAATCTCTATGTTTGGCCTAATTTGGGATGTAAAAATTAACGTTTTAAAATAAAATTGACAAAATAGTTCTATTTAACTTTCTCACATGTCTTTTCGTCAACTTAAAACGTTTTTTATCTTGAAACATTGAACTTTATAATCGGGGCCAAATATGGCTCATACCGAACTTACTCCTTTGTCTTTGTATGAGGCGATTTCTTGAAAAAGATACAGTTATGAAACAGTCTTTCTATAGATTATAATGATAAAAATCAAAATGTTTGACGGTGAAGTTGCTATGAACCTTCAGTTTGTCCTTGCTATTGTGAAATATTTTCTATAAAAATCGTAAATTGTTTTTTTTTATAGTTATGATTTAAAGTTATAATTATATAACAATATAACAGTTACTGTTAGAAAGTTTAGCAGATTTATGTAACTGCATGTTATTCACAGACTACATGCTTTGGCTATTTTATTTGTAGAAATGAGTGCAGTATGAATGAGTTTGTGCAATATATATTTAAATGTGTGTGGACAAAACATGCATGTCTTTCAAAACATTGAATGAAAATTATGCCTATGTATTACTGTAAATCAATATGATTTTTTTAATTTCATGTTTCAGAGAATTTGTAAACAAGCTATTTACTCAGAAAAAGGTTATCTTTTTTGGTAACCTGCAATAATAACCATCTACAGTTTGTAGAATTATTCTGTTCATTCTCTCTTTGGAACAATGATTACAGCATTGTATGATATTCATTGGCGGATCCAGTGGGTTGTTCCGGGGGTTGGAACCCCCGTTTTGTTCGATTTTCAAATTTTTTTCTAAATGATTTTTTTTTTCCTAAATTTTTTATAATTATGTGAACGTTCATGGTGTTCCGGGGGTTGGCACTCCTTTTCGAAAATGGCTGCATCCACGTCAGTGATATTGATCAAAGATTTCTTAACTCGTATGATATTTCAAAGCATGTCTTCCCTTTAAACTTCTGAACAATAGTTTCATTTTTGTAGGATAACCATTCATTTAGGTCATGCTTACTCGTACATTTACATGCAATAATAAATTATTATATAGTTTTTTTATAAAAAGAAATGCTGTAAGTTAGCCCAACCGTGTCGATCACTATGACATTTTTAGTCATTTAGAAAAAAGTAGTTTTAATGCAATTGTTCTCTTGGAAGAAAACGGAAGTGACACAAAGGTCATTAACTTGTTTTACCGCCTTTTACAAGTACATTTAAAGTTTATTCGAAAAGGAAAAGAAGATAAGTAGGAAGCATTCACAACCATTATAAGTCGACGACACCCCCATGGCAAAACGCAATACTAAGAAAAGACAAATAAAGGCTAGCAAATTATTTTACAAAACAAAAGATTGAGCACCAGGAACCCAACAAAAAAACCCGGAAGGGAACGCCATGGCACCGGGAGGGTAACTAAATCCTGTTCAACTAGTGGCATTCAAAGTTATAAAGTTGATTAGCAGATATGTGATATTTAAATGTGATGTTAGATTTACACGATATCTGTATGTGATGTTAAATTTACACGATATCTTTATGTGATGTTAAATTTACACGATATCAGTATGTGATGTTAAATTTACACGATATCTTTATGTGATGTTAAATTTACACGATATCTGTATGTGATGTTAAATTTACACGATATCTTTATGTGATGTTAAACTTACACGATATCTTTATGTGATTTTACTGTGCACGACATCGAAAAAAGATGTTAACTTGATACGATATCAATTTGTGATGTTAACTTTACATGATATCGATATGTGATGTGAACTTTACATGATATCGATATGTGATGTTAACTTTACATGATATCGATATGTGATGTTAACTTTACATGATATCGTTAAGTGATATTAACTTTACATGATATCAATATGTGATGTTAAGTTTATATGATATCGATATGTGATGTTAACTTTACATGATATCGATATGTGATATTAACTTTACATGATATCGTTAAGTGATGTTAAATTTACATATTAAGTATGTTTAGTTTATTCTACGCATTTATATTAAGATGTTATAGTATTTTGATGTTTAATGAAGGTCCACAACTTTTGTGATTTTAAACAAAATCCGTCCATATTTTGTCTTATATCATGTAATTTGTTATATGTTTAAATAAACACAAATACATACATATAGATTGCTATTTCTAAGGCATGTGTATAACCAATACAATTTCTTTTGGTATACCCAATATAACTCTCTAGTATTCCTAACACTAAAAGTGGGGCTCATATTCCGTCTGTCCGTTCGTCTATTCCTCCAAAAATATTTTCGTCACATGTTAACCAGGAACCACCAAACAGAATGACTTCATATTTTGAAACACCTTGAGCACCTTTGGTTCCTTTCAGACATCAACTTCCTAATTGCCAAAATTTAAAATATAATTTGATACGTTGAATGAATTTTAAAATGTCCGTCAAACATTTCTTAAGTACTACAGACCAGAATGACTTCATCATCGGTCATCAGCTTCACACTAATAAGTTTTAATTTTATTTTGGATGTAAAACGTCTTCTGATTGGTTGAAAGTTTTTGTCTATCAGCTCATAGACATAATTTTGTCATGTGACCGTGACGTCATCAACGTTTTTTCTTGATTTACTCCTTAAAAATGGAATTTAGAATTCAATTATAAGGAATGACTGTAATATTTGTTCTGTCTATTCGAAATACCTTCAAAAATGTGGTGCACACTTTTAAATAACCAGCTACGCGAAACTTTCGGAATAACGAGTAGGAGTTTGCAAAGCACGACAATGCGTGCATTCTTGTTCAACATTATAAACAAAATTAAAAGATCCATCGGAAAACAAACGCTTTTGTTATTTTTTCTTTCTTTAATATTTAGGGAGTTATGGGGAGTGGGTTGTCCATGTTTTTGCTCGTCTCTGTGCACAGTATACAATTGCAAACTGCAAGCTTTATAGAACGATGGATTGTGATAATTCTGAAAATAAAATACTATTTTAGACATTTTGTGCGTTCGACGCACTGTTTTGGATTTACCTCAAACCTATTCATTTGATAGCTAGGGATGTATAAATATGTAGACCAGTTAGGAGCTATATGACCTTCAATCTAGTTTAACCCCGCGACATCATGTATGTGCCTGTCCCAAGTCAGTAGCCTGTAATTCATTTGTTGTCGTTTGCTGATGTGCAACATATTTGTTTTTCGTTCTTTATTTTGTACATTTATTAGGCCGTTAGTTTTCTCGTTTGAATAGTTTTACATTTGTCATTTCGAGGCATTTTATAGCTGACTATGCGGTATGGGCTTTGCCCACTTGTTGATGGCCGTACATTGACCTATATATAGTTGTTAATTTCTGTGTCATTTGGTCTCTTGTGGAGAGTTGTCTCATTGACAATCATACCACATCTTCTTATTTTTATATGTATTCTTAAGTTTAAATTTTCTATGATTAACTTTGCAACTTTGAACATTTTAATGATCCCGTTTTCTTCTCCGCAACTTTTCTGTCAGCAGAATAGTCACTATAAACATTGAATTATTTAAAGGAGCCTTGGTGGCCAAGTGGATTAAGTAGTCACTAGCCTGTCAACACCGTGGTTGTGAGTTCGTACCCTGTATGTGGCAGGAGCATTCGCCTTCAATCTTAATTAACTAGGATTGATTAATCAGTTTTCCTGCCGAAGGTCGGTGGCTCTCTCCGGGCAATCCGCTTCCTCCACCAATAAAGACTGATCGCCCTGAAATAGCCAATAGTGCTGACAGTGGCGTTAAACATCAATCAATCATCCATATAAAACGGAATGTGATGTTCAAGTCTAACAATGGCTGCCTGTTATTCTTCGTGGGAATCAGTTGTTTAAAGATTAGATGACAGTAATAATGCTTCTCGTCATTACAAAACACTAGGATGGTTATCTCCCTTGAAACATACGGGTATTGGAGTGACCCTTGTTGTCAGAGCCAAACAGATAAAGGACAGGGAACCAGTCTATACAAAAAACACGACCAGCAAAAGTAAAAAATCTTCTACGAGAACGCTCAACCCATTAAAGTTGAAAAGAATTTATAATAAATAGATACAAATATAAAAAGTTAAGAGCTAAATGACAAAAAGAAATATTAAAGAACAGCCAAATTCATCTTCGATCAATTTTGCATGAGTCAGTTGGAACCTGAATTAAAAAAAAAACTATGCGAAAGAAAAAAGCCATATTGCCCTGTAAAATCGAGAACAGTCGCACTAATTACATGAGGAATGTGAGGGTCTTGATGAGGTTTACATAATAAAGAAAAAGCGGCAAAATAAGGAATAGATAAAAATAGCATATAATTTAATAAAATAGAATAGAAGACACCCCCAATCCAGACCCTCAAACATGTACAGTTACAGTAAATATGACAAGACTTTCAATGCAGGTTTAGTATACAGGTGTGTTGATAAATAAAAGATCCTCAAATCATGACATAATGTCAGAACAATAGATAAGAACTCTGACCTTTATCTATACTGGTACACAATGGTGGACTGTTCCTACACTTTGACAACGTTTGGTAAATCTTTTCGTCTTAAACTGACCTTTCCTTTTATCATTACTTCTATTTTAATGTTACTAATTCCTGTCCGCGAAATTAATGTTTTTTTGTTTGTTTGCAGATCTTTACTGCAGATATTGTTTTGTTTTGGATAGAGAATATGGTGTTTTCCATTTGAAATAATTTGGTCACATAGCATTTATTTTTAGCATCAATCAATATCACGTGGTTTGTCCCATTTCATCGGCCTTGATCGTAAAAAATGCACTTTAAATGAATTCCCAATTCTTTTTTTCGGTAACATACGTTTTAACCTGTAAACTATATGAACCTGGTATTTAGGCTTTTGAACTAGACCCACTTTAGAACTACGGCCTTTTTGATATTACTGATAAACTTGAAATCAAGGCCATATTTGGCCAAAGTGAACCCTGTCCTTTATTTTGATCACATTGCGAACAAGTTTTTCTGCTGCAATTGCAAATAAACAAAACATTTTTTTTTGTCCTGTCAAAAAAAAAATTAAAATAAGATAAATGAAAGATGAAGAAGGGTCACTTACAAAAATTTAAGCTCTTTTGTGACATTTTCATTGTAACTGTGACGTCATAAACATATCATATAACCAACAAACCATTTTTCAAAAATGTGTACCCACTTACTACAACATAATTACCCGCTTTTTAGTGGGTTTCGTGTTGTTTGGTTTTCTATGTTTTGTTTTGTCTTTTTCTTTTTTTAGCCATGGCGTTGTCATTTTATTTTCGACTTCTGGGTTTGAATTTTCCTTTGGTATCTTTCGCCTCTCTCTCTTCTGTATCAACGTATAAACGGAAAAAGATCTTTGATTTTGTGTCAGACAGTAATTCGTATTTTGATACTGACATGATTATTAGTACATTCTTAGTACAATTGTAGTTTGGTACATTTGTTATTATCTATTCTATGACCATTATTTCAGGTTGTTTAGTATTAGCCAGTATCCTAGGTCAACATTATGTAAGAGCAGGTAAGAAAACTATAGGCCAACACGTACATCATATAAATAGAGAATATCATATGGCTTTTTCAATATCTGCTCGAGGGATTATATTCGTTTAGGGTTGATACTATGTGTGATATTAAAAAAGCCATATCATATACAATTTATCATATACCTCAAGTAGCTGTTTTTTTTATGTGACATGACGTTATACAGATTAGGGGTTTGATAAAGCCTTTGCAACAGTGAATAATATCGATGACGTGACGTCATATATATTAAAGGTGTGATAAAGCCTTTGCAACCGTGACTGATATCGATATCATCACGGATGGCTGATACAGTACGATTGCCGTTGACCGTATTACACATACAATTTATCTGTATTTACTACTAAGTATATAATAAATACATTCATAGGCGGATTAAGAAGGAGACGGAAAGGGGCCCATTATCAAGCTACATATATAACTAAAGTCATATGAAACAAGTTTCTTTTAATTATAAAACATATTCAACTTTTTTTTTAAATTTTAAGTTTCATATGACTTTAATGCATATTTTTTTCAAGTCCAACTTCTGACATTGCCTTGTTGGTTACCACTCCCCCGTTTCCACAGATCCTGGATCTGAACCTGACGTTATTTATACATACAAAATCTAGTCCGCCATTTTATAACCGGATTTTCTGTTGAACGAGAGATAACTTTCATTACCTTACGTATATCTTATTTCAATGAGAATTATCATGTCGCCTGTGTATTTTTCTCTAAAATTACTTCTGGATAAACACGACAACTTTAAGTTATGTACTTTATAAGTGAAAATTATGACCTAATTTGGGTTTTGGCATAACAAGCTATGTAACCTGAAGGCTGTTTATTTGGTTAATAATTCAAGCGAACAAATCATCTTTCTAAAATTGTAAACGTTGTTTTGTAAAAATAAGGAGATGTGGTATAATTATCAATGCGACAGATACCCACCAGAGACTAAAGGACGATGAGGTAGACATATAAATGGTACGGAATAAGGGAGCTACCATTTGATTTTTATAGGGGGGGGGGGGGGGTGGGGGGCTAGGATGAAATTTGAAAAAAGGCAGGACAGGTGTTTTGAGTAAAACAAAAAAAAGGCAGGATGAGCAACATGGCATAAAAAAAAGGTAGGATGACAATTTATGTAAAAAAAAGTCAGGATAAACTAATGAAAAAAAACGGCAGCACCCCCCCCCCCCCCCCCCTATAAAAATCAAATGGTAACTTCCTAATTTTACCCTTTACCTTCTGTTATTTTACTGATCGAGATATAAGCAAATGTAAGTACATCAACACAAACATATTTATCGGTGCCATACTGTGGTGAAATCTCCACACACCAGATATTGCTGTTCCGCCAAAATTGTACACTTCAATTGATGTCACAATTATAGTTTTGAAACGTTAATTGAGAAATTTATATCGATATACTTACTTGTATTATATATTCCTATTGGATTCAGAATCTGTAATTCCAACAGCTAGCGTAAATGACTTTGTTGCTTATAAACAGCAATATCCGGTGTACGGGAATACTCGGTTAAGTAGAAACTGTATAGAACTAAAAAATGGTGAACATATTTCTCTTACGCTATAAAAAAGAAGATTCGGTTTAAAGTACTTTTGTCAATGGTTCGTGCTTCACTATAAATAGGAGGGCTGTTGGTGAAGGATAGCTGCGGAAAAGTAGTTCTCATACACCTTGATATTTTATGTACGGTCCGCAAATATTCAAAAAATTATCACAAGGACAAGCTGAGGGACTTAAGTGATACCTCTATGATTTATAACTACAATATTAAGAGAGATGTTTTACCAACAATTACAACCATCATTTACTATACAAATTCATCAACAAGAGTTATTTTTAAATTAATAATCCTTTTGTGCACTGCATATGAATTTCATAATTTATAATATATTACACAGGTATATTATGCTATCAATGTGATTTACTTCCACATCAAAGAGACTGCGATAGAATTGTAGAATGTGGATCGAACGAGGTACGTCGTATACACAACGCTTTACATCAACTCTAAGAGTTGCTAAGGGAAACCGCTAAAAGGGATGATTGTTGGATTGATTGTTAGTGTTTAACGCTGCCACTATTGGCTACATCGCGGCAATCAACTTCTATTGGTGGAGGAAGCCGGATAGAACCACCGGTTTCGCCAGGAAAACTGACACTCCTAGTCAATTGAGCAAAGGGGTAAAAATACTCGTCTGTTTAATACAGGCCAATGAAAATAACACTGCAGATATACAAGAAAAACCATGCAAACCGTTATAGATGATTTAGGCATCCAAACAATTCATTCTTCAACTGAATACCATGGAAATGTAGTATATACACTAGTGATTGGGTTCCCCAAAATACATTCCCAAAATACAAGTTTTGAAGCACTTTAACTTGTGTTCCTTTAAAGGATCTCATGTAAAACTTATTAAATTATTTTGAGGTTTCAAGCTACAAAATATGTTAATATAAGAGGCAAAAAAGAAACTCACACAACAACGTCAAAATGGGACAACCAAGGATTACATTGAAATCAATATATCTACTTTTTCTTTATATTGGCTCTAATATCAGACATAAGGACTATTTTTGATCAGACAGATGATTATCAAAAAAGAACCCGGATGCTGTTTGGAAGCAAATATTATGACTTAGCAAACGCCGGAAAACTTTATAAAAATCATTTAAAAAACATCAAAGATATCAGGCTAATAATTTGACGCCAAACGCGCGTCTCGTCTACATAATTATGTCTCACCAGTGACACTCGTACAAAAAAGGAAAAAGGCCTTATCAAGTACGAAATGGAAGAGCATTGCAATTAAGATATTGAGCATATTTATCTTTCTCCAAAATGTTGATGACACCGGCAATATACAACTCGTACAATGCAAAAAAGTAAATGAATGAAACATAACAGCGTATGCACATGTATGCAAGACATGACAAACGAGATCACAAAAAAAAAAAAAAAAAAAAAAAAATACAAAAAAAAACAACATCCGTCTTACTTTCAGACTCTACTGATGGCTTTTTAAAATTTAAAATCATTTCATTTTTTTTTTATTTTTATTATTGATTTTTACGAATAGGAATGTTATGGATCAAGATTAATATCAGACGATGGTTTAACTAAATATACTTCAGGCTGCAGAGATAAATCGGTAGGCATTTATTAGTAACCTGTTTTGTCTCGTGTATCGCTGTATTACTGCAAGTCTTCAGTATCACCGTATTACAGCGAGTCTTCAGTAACACCGTATTACTGCGAGTCTTCAGTATCACCGTATTACTGCGAATCTTCAGTATCACCGTATTACTGCGAATCTTCAGTAACACCGTATTACTGCGAGTGTCTTCAGTAACACCGTATCACTGCGAATCTTCAGTAACAACGTATTACTGTGAATCTTCAGTATCACCGTATTACTGCGAATCTTCAGTATCACCGTATTACTGCGAATCATCAGTAACACCGTATTACTGCGAATCTTCAGTATCACCGTATTACTGTGAATCTTCAGTAACACCGTATTACTGCGAATCTTCAGTATCACCGTATTACTGCGAATCTTCAGTAACACCGTATTACTGCGAATCTTCAGTATCACCGTATTACTGTGCGACACTGAGTGGAACTGTAAGTTATACATGTCTGGTTTGCTACTGAACCCTACGAATTCATAGATGATTTGTAAAATCCATTGCGACTGAAGACAAAATAGTTCCTATGTATCAATAGGGGTCACCACATCACGGAGTTAGACCAATCACAGCGTCACCATTTTACCCGAGGTGCGTTCATTGTATATTGATTTTATGGAAAATGTCTATGCAATCTCTTAATTATGTCAGCGTATTTAAGTGTAGCTAAGGGTGATTTTTTTATTGTTTGAGGTGGAGACGCGGGGGATGATTATTCATTTTCAACCTATTGCTAGCCCGGCAATTTATTATCCCTTTGCACACTATTTTGTGAGTTCTGTTGTGCAGAATATTTATTAGTTCTTACCAATGCCAAGATAATACTTTAAAGGGGAGGGGGACAGGTGGAGTTTTTCTCTCGAGCGGAATGAGACAAAATCCCAAAAGTGTATTACACAAACTTATGTTATGATCAATAATGACAACACAATTATAGTATATTGTACTACACGTATTGTAAATGAGTACTAGAGATCTTTCGTCATTGGCTTTGGTCAAGCTATCATTACATTATTATTTACCTTACACAATACCAGTATTGAAATTATTGTTCTTCTGTTCTCGTCCTGAAGATACATGAAATATTTGCCACTTGACGTCAAGCTAACAAGAACATTCGTGAATCTAAAAATTGATAGAACGTTAAGTTTCCGAATGTAATGATCTTTGATTGTTCCTGATGAAAGTAAAAAAAAACGAAAAGCGCTTCGAACGCATGAAATTTATAACATGTTGTTTTCATTTTTTTACAGCACTGTGTCGATACCGCTGCTGATGGACTATTAGTCCCCGAGGGTATCGTCAGCTCAGTAGTCAGTACTTCGGTACTGACATGATTTATAACAAACCTTTCTAAAATTATCCGTTTATAAATTTTGAAATTACAAAGAAACTAAGGTTTCAACACCCTCAGGGAAAGTTGGTCTTAAATGGATTTGGCTATTTTTATTAGGTTCTTTTGGTTATTTAGCTCTTCAATTGTTTCGGTTTTTATACATACATAGCTTTCAAATAGTCAGCTTTGGTCGTTCCTGGTGAAGGTAAATCAAGAAAAGGGCTTCGGAGTCATGACATTTACAGCGTGTTGTTTTCATTTTTTAATTTTTTAATGATAATCACATGATAGTCACATGTTGTATAGTATCTTCTTATGTGTTTTAGGTCTGTAATGTAAGAGCTCCGATTTTAGGTAAACGAGCTGAATTGATTCCTTGTTCTCAGTGTTGCAATACTTCGTACTGTAATCTTGAAACCTGTGATAATCATATAACTAGTAAGTAAATGGGTTTTTTTTTTTTTTTAAATCCACCTTATGTAATATTGCTGTATTTTGATTGGATAAGAAAAATGGTATTTTGCCCAAATTTTCTATATATTGAGATTTTCTTGTCTCTACCGGTGTATATTTCATTTAGGAATTCCATGTGCCGGGGTATTTGCTAGCAAATACTATGTCTAAAAATAAAGCGACTTCCGAAGACCTCTAGACTTTTCCTTGAGATAGAACCGGTATTTTGGGCAAATACCCATTGTAAGCATGATGTATTTGTATGAAATTACATCAAAGAGGAGAAACAAAATCTTGAACTAGTCAACCACATGCATGCCATGTACAATGTAGGATATCAAATTCACAATTACAAAGTAAATTTTCAAATGCGTACACCAAAACTTTGAGAATTGTGAATTAAGAAATATAGTGAAATTCAACCAATTGTATTACTTTTTTTCATTTTTGATTCATCTAAAACGTCGAAATTAGATCTTCAACGTTTGATGTTTGATGTTTGGACCAAATCTTTCTGTCTCTTGGTCTACCATTAATAATGAAAACACATAACAGAGCAAGATTGATTGTCATGTAATCATGGCATATGATACCGCAATTTGCGTCGAACTAATTCATTTGTAATTATGATACATGTACCATCACGTAATTGGTGTTTACATTTTGGTAACCGTATGTAGATAAAGGTAGCATAAAGCTTACTTTAAAATGATTCCAATTAAACAATATCCACATTTTCATGCCAGTACTAAATTACTTGGTATTAGGCTGATGATATCATCGGGGACTCACAGTTTATCTTCAGAATTATCGGACCAGTGGCTGTACTAACATGTAGTTACACTAACCGTTGAATAGAAGCGTATACTAAGAATTTATGGGCATACGTATTTTTAAGAACCAGTTTATCTTTATTTCAGGTAACAGAAAGAGATGTTTATCCTGCAAGTATGCGCTTACTCCCGAAGACTGTAACCTGTCTATACAGTGTAATACTGATGAGGTAAGACTGTAACCTGCCAATACAATGTAATACTGATGAGGTAAGACTGTAACCTGTCTATACAGTGTAATACTGACAAGGTAAGACTGCAACCTGTCTATACAGTGTAATACTGACGAGGTAAGGCTGCAACCTGTCCATACAGTGTAATACTGATGAGGTAAGACTGCGACCTGTCTATACAGTGTAATACTGACGAGGTAAGACTGCAACCTGTCTATACATTGTAATACTGACGAGGTAAGGCTGCAACCTGTCTTTACAGTGTAATACTGAAGAGGTAAGACTGCAACCTGTCTATACAGTGTAATACTGACGAGGTAAGGCTGCAACCTGTCTATACAGTGTAATACTGACGAGGTAAGACTGCAACCTGTCTATACAGTGTAATACTGACCAGGTAAGACTGCAACCTGTCTATACAGTGTAATACTGACGAGGTAAGGCTGCAACCTGTCTATACAGTGACGAGGTTAGAATCAGCAATTGAAATCAAAACGAGGTTTATATCAATGCTAATAATGCGTCTGGTTGATAATTGCAAAAATAAGAACTCGCATTAGGGACCAACCATGTAACTTTATGGAGGGGGGGACAATTATTTTAGTTTTCGACGCTATCAATCAAAATACTTTTTTCAAAATTTAACACTTTACGGTATGGGGAAAATCTGGATTCAGAATATCTTTTTGGTCATCTGCTTGAAGTTAAATTGTCGTTCCCTTATGATATCTGATACGTATATCATTATGTAGCTCTTTCTGAAATCACAATAATTAATCTGGACTTTTGATCTCTTGTCAGAATCGCTAAAATTATTGCTCTCTATAATTTCTGTTTAGTTTTTGCAACATATCCGAAAGGTTAAACTTGGGTTTTCAAACAAGAATTTAAAATGGGTTTATGTTTCATTTTTTTTCTATTTTTACAAGGGGTTCATGTAGTGGCATAGGAGTTAAGCTTTCAAAAAGAATTTATAACAATTTGTTATCCTTTATCAGTATTCTGCCTTCTCATCATCAAAATTGGCAGATATAATTATAGTTACATGATTTCTAAAATAAGTTTATCATCTCGTAGGTCTCGTGTTAGCATGTATAGGAAAACGATCCCTAGCAGAGTCAATTAAATAAAAAATTAAAACCTTGATATTGTTATTTGATGCTTGTTTGCCCTGAAGCACGACAATTTGGTATAGTGGCAAACACAGGTCGGAACAGAATCATTATGATACGATGGTTTGGGTGGCATGTCCTCATGCAATACTGTATACTTGTGAGGTTTAACTTTTACTTGGGTCTTGTATAAAGAATATCAATTTTCCATTAGCATATTACCGTGTGCTAAATATGCATATAATATTTGCCACTATACAATGTATACCTTCAACATCCATTAACAATGTAGCTTGCTATATTGTATAAGGTATACGTTAAGCTAATTGTTGAAGACCGTACGGTGACCTATATAGCTGATAACCTTCTACAGCATTTTGGTGGAGAGTTGTCTCAGTGGCAATCATTCACATACCATATCTTCCTATTTCTATAAAGTCATATTTAAAAAGCAAATAAATTAGGAAATAAGACTATGTGTTTAAGTCTCTTACACATATTAATTTGAGGAAATGACGAAGTTTTCTTGGTTCACACCGGATTTGTTTGCTTACCAGATTTGACCCGTGTATTATTTTAACTATATGACAGTGCATCGGATATAATCTAACCTGCGTAAGAGTATAATCTACTATGCCGGATCACGTGATTAAATATCTTCCTTTCTTATCACTCAGTTACAAAAGTAAAATTGTTCTTGTAGTCCATTGCTCTCGAAAAAGGTTAAATTGTGTTAGATTGTGTACGAGTAATCAGTATATAGGGGGAAGAGGAGTCGGCTGAAATCGGCAGGTTTAAAAAAAAACAAAATGACAAGAATATTGAGAATGTTTGCTCCTTTGTTTCACAATAACAAGCTTTTAAAGGCTATTATGAATTGACAGTTTGTAAATAACGGTACTTAAAAAGCAGAAACAAATTTATAGGTTCGTGTCCTTGTTTAAGAGATATACTCATTTGAAAATTTGGCGGGAAATGATTTTTCATAATTTTAGCAATGGCTCCGTTTTTCTTTCAAAAACTATGAAACATTAACAAAGATTTTATAAGATTTAAAAAAAATTGACTTTTAAACTATATGTAATAAAATTATAAACAGAAAAATATTCAAAAACAAGAGGAGCAAACATCCATAATGTGAATCTGCTACTTTGTATGTAATAAATTTGTCATGGTCTGATAATCACTTTTTTCTTTGTCAAGGTCTGTTACACACAAGCAATAATCTACTTTTTTCTTTGTCAATGTCTGTTACACACAAGCTATAATCCACTTTTTTCCTTCGTAAAGGTCTGTTACACACAAGCTATAATCCACTTTTTTCCTTCGTAAAGGTCTGTTACACACAAGCTATAATCCACAATCAAGAAAAAAGATACAGACTTGGATGTGCGCATAAAAATGTAAGTATTAAGGTGGTACATAACACTACAGGGAGATAACTCTGTAGAAACGTTTTAATCACGTTCTATTGTTAATGAAATATTAAAAGATTCTCAACGATCAAAATTAATCTTTGTCAAACTGCTATATATCCAATGATTTTTTTCCGATAAGGTGTGGTTCAATTTTTTTTGAAATTTTTATATTTTTGTCAAAGGGTCAAAGTTAATATTTTGTCAAAATTTTATCAAAATCGTTTGAGCCAAATTTATTTTAGTCAAGGTGTTTGGTACCACATTTACATCTAGCTCATGAAAAAATTTGTCTTACATTCTGAGGTATGAAATTATGTTATACATGTAATGCATTGATATGTATGTTGTGTGTTACGTGGCAATCGACAATCCTCGGTTCAATCCGCCACTTTCCTTTCTGAAGGAACGCAGATAGTCGAGTTGTAACGAGTGTTAATGTCGATCAGGCCTTACGGTCATGAAACTTTTCTCTGTACTTGGAGTACAAAATGTGTGCTCGAAACAACAAAATCCAGTATTTTCATTGGTGTACACACCAAAATCCAGTATTTTGATTTGTGTATTTTTTAGTCTGAGTACTACAATTTGTAATGATAGCTAGGCCATACCTTTTCTCGGTCCTCGGAATTCGAAATTTGTACTCGAAACACAAACTCAGGGCCTTTTGGTCATAGAACTGTACTCAATACTCGCGTCGGAGTACAGTGCTCGAAACACCAAAATGCAGTTTTTTCATTGGTTGATTTCTGAGTCTGAGTACGATCATCGTATTCGAAACTTGTATGACTGCAAGGCCAGAATTTTGTTCGGGATGAACTATTTCGATATGATACATACAAATACTGAATTTTACTGTTAATATTGTGGATTCATTTATTTTCGTTGGTACCAATTTTCGTGGTTTGAGGAAAACTTGCATATTCGTGGATATTTAATTACGTGGTTTTGGCAAAGTCTGCATACATTCCTTAAGAAAATTTGTAATTCGTTGAACATTTAAAATCGTGGTTCTACTGTACCCACGAAATCCACGAAAATTGGTATCCGACGAATATTAATGAATCCACTGTATTCAATTAATTGCGATAAGATCAAACAAGTCTGTATTGACCTGTATTAAGCGAATGACGGATCTTGTTCAATGTTAACTACAGAACAAGAGACATAAAGTACAACTACACAGACAAACATGCGTATTAAAAGAAATCCTACTACTGAAATTGATCGTAAATATAATGATTTTGTTCAAGTTACAAAGGCACCACCTGTCATGGAAGCTACTTAACACCATGTGTTTTTTTCAAACTCACTACATTTTGCTTTTTAGCAATGCGGCGCTAGATTTAACCCTCAGTTAAGTGGTGTAGGGCGGAGGGCAAAACTACAAATACAGACATACGTATCAAAAGAAATTTTACTACTAAAATTGATCGTAATAATACCGATTTTTTTCAAGAAACAAGGGTACGACCTGTAATGGAAGTTCCTTAACACCATGTGTTTTTTCAAACGCACTATATTTTGCTTTTTAGCAATGCGGCGCTAGATTTGACCCTGTGTCAAGTGGTGTGGGGCGGAGGGCAGCGGATGATTACTGTGGACAGTGTTGTGTTGGTAGTAACTGTAACAGAGAGCTGTGTTCAGGGAAAAGTAGGTATATACACTGTCTATTTAAAATACCATTGAAAGTTTATTATCTTACTAAAATCAATACGATTTAAAAGTCACTCATTTATAGAATCAAATTTCTGTACTAGCATGCGCGATCTACATGTATATGAAGATTTCAGATCAAAACAAACACATTGTTATTTGCGAATAAACTCGAAAATACACATTACCTATATTACCTTATATTTTCAAGGTATTGTTAATTGATTATTTTGTGGGTACTAACGTCCAGTGGCAAAATTTTGATGCATTTTCAGGACGAAAACAAATAAACAATAAATATGATAGGTAGGTACTGTAAAAGAGGCATTCCGGGATGGAGGACTTGGAAATTTCGACTGCTGTCGGAAAATGAAGGTATATCAGAAATTTTGTCGTGCAACAGGCGCCTACGGATCCTCAAATAGTCTTCTTAACGGGCAGAGAGCGTCTCATTTTCTCTACACGTGGCATCGGATATAACGACCCCATGTTGAGAGGACGTGGCTGTGTACTTGTACATCCCGCACAGCTAAACGGATACTCTTCGTTGGCAAGAGTTTTTCTGCCGGTTGGAAGAAGGTCAAGAGTGACCATATTTCTATTCCCCTGTCGCCCTTTGGCGTAGATTTTATAAACTTCTATTAAATATATCAGTAGGTCGTCTATTTACTATGAGACTAAATAAAGAAAATTGTTTTTATTATTGCCTCACAATTTATGTGTGTGTTGATTTCAAGAGTTTAATTTCCGATTGCACAAATATTCGCATTTTTCTAAAGTTTGTGGGTAATACGTGAATAAACATTATGATTCCTCGCACGCAATATATTTTGTAAATGTAAAATTCAAGAAGTATTTAAATACTTTTAATTGTTATCTTTCTATTAAAATAAAGGATAGTATTAATTTTGTTTTACAGATATACCACATTCGAAACTAACAATGCCACCACCTTTATCATTCTGTCGTGATAACTCAACTTCCTCATGCGCATTACACGTGAATGAATGTTCACAAGACTACTATAAATATTACCAATGCCCATACACTTGTAAACAATGTAAGTATTTTCTAAGCATTGAGTCAGTTGGTTTGGTGATCTCAATCCAAATGAGCTAGGGGAACGAGGGTACACGAACGACAGTTAGCTTACCAACAATGAAATCTTGATGGTGTAAAGTGTTTTTTTTAATTCATTACTTTGTCAAGTAAGTTCTTGAGATATTAGAAACTTAGGATTTATATTCAATGTTTTCTCAAAATAAGTGTGTAGGCTATCGAGTCTTGATGGACAAGACAAGCTGTATTTCAGAAGATGTCCCGATTTTCTTGCAACTTTTGTGGAACGAGTAATAGTCTTTCTCAATGTCTTCAGTGTTTTTGTATCAAAAGTAGATCTAATAATACGCTATACGTATATGTAATATATGTGTGTAAAACAAATGCTATTAAGGCTATTCCATTACAATGTATGTGGGAGGGTAGGAAGGGACTTTCAAAATATCCCTACAACAAAGAACCATTTTTTAGATACGCATACTGAAAAAAGACCCATGACCCACAAATAATATTTAAACTTCCCTTCCTACCCTTACACATACATTTTAATGGAATACTATAGCCCTGATAAATATTGTATTCTATCGTAAATAATGCAGAAAATGAAATTGTACATGAGTATACAATACCGGCATGTTTCAGACGAATCCTAACGTTTGATTGGCTGATTTTAATCTCGAGAAACAATTCAAAAATTATATTTTAATTCTCTTGATGAAATGTATCATTAATGACTGCACGTGCATCTAATGACAACGTCATAAAACTACATGTAAATGTAGTTTTAAAAATTGAATACACCTATCTTATCTTGCAGATAATCGCGGTTCATGACAATTGTGCTTCGGTTAACGCTTTTACGCCCAAATAAAATTACTAAAAAAAAATAAGCATTCAATTCGAAAGTAACTATATATATACAACCTAGGCAGTTATTAAAGTTTCAAAGTCGAAATAACATCGCATTCTTATATGAAGTAAAAAAAACTCAATGACATCATTTTCTAGAATAATAATTATTACAGGTGGAGCAGGGCCGATCAGTAAGTAATCTTATTTCATCAATTAGTTCGGACACACAGCCAAATATGCTTACATGTGTGTTATACATTATAAAGTTACTCTGATTCGTTATATTTTGTAGGATACCAATTTCTGTGTATTTTATGGGTATAGATTAACAACAAATTTAACATAGTTAACATTTTCTATATGCTTGTATGCATACTTTGGAAAAAACCACAAAATCAAATATCCATTAAAATACAAGTGTTCCTCATTCCACGAAAATAAATGAAACCATAGATCTATGAAGTATGTACATACCTCAGAGAGAAAATCACAACGATTGCACAACAGTGGCATTTCATTTAACACGTGTTAATACTGCCCTTTTTATTTTATGATCAAATAAAAAAAAGAAATATGGAAAAATATTTCATTTAAATAAACTCATCATAGATACCAGGATTAAAATTTTGTATTTGCGCCAGACGCGTTTCGTCTACAAAAGACTCATCTGTGACGCTCGAATAAAAAAAAGTTAAAAAGGCCAAATAAGGTACGAAGTTGAAGTAACGTAGTTTTTAATTAAGCTTTTACACCCTAACCGAATGAAAGTGTTATTTGCAGTCAAACAGTTGATGTCAAATTGTAGCTAAATAAAATTTATATATGGTTCTTTAAAATAGCTTTACAATTCTTTTGTTTATTTGATTTACTTTTCAAAATGTTTCCACATAAGCGGCGAACAGTCTTTACTTTACACGGACTTAATAAAGTGGAAGTAAAATAATGTTTATAATTTTGTTATGCTGCTGTAGGTATATATATACTGCACAGGTTACAAAAACCACCGCTCAAAAACTTTCGCAACTCCAAAATTATGTAATAAAGCGTTTACATATGAATTCTGTTTTTTACATGTACACGTGGAAAGTAAGCTGCATCATAGGCTTTACTATTCTTTGGTTTATTTGATTAAATTTTTCCATGTTTTCAATCGCTTTTTCACATAATCGACCTGTAATGCTTTTTCTTTCTTTTTTCGTTTTCTCTTTGAGAAAACAATTTATATATTGAAAATAAAACACGTTGGCAGGAAAATAACCTACATGTGAAATTTTCTTATTTGTGGTATGAATAGAAGTTAGTTGTTGAAAACATATACCAGAAACGAACTATTTGAAAATATATTTACCAGATTCCTACTGCTATCCAGTTGATAAAAGCTAATCAAAGATACCAGGCTTATGATTTTGTACGTCAGACAGAATTTTCTACTACCAAAGACTTACCAATGACACTGGAATGACAAATAAGTGCAAAGTTTAATAGCTTGTAAATTGGGAAGAACTGGGCCATCTACAAACTACTTTTGATATAGGTCTATCTGTATAAAGTGATATATGTTTATTAAAGGTGCAAACATGCGGTTTTGGCTTTGCGCATTTTTGAAGTCCTAACAGTGATTTAAAGTTGTCAACGTCATCGTCATTTGGTCTCTGGTGGCGAGTTGTCTAATTAGAATTTATAAAACAATCTTTTTATATTTTTTACATATATTTAATATCGGAAAGTATACAAAAAATCCGAACACTTGATTTATGTTTTTTTTTTTGCAGTCACAAATGCCCCTGTAGCAACAATGACTACTGGTAAGTCTTAAATTTTATTTCTATCTAGATCAGGAGAACGACTACGATACATTCATTTATTAAATTTGACCGATTGAGCGGGACATTTACTGGTTAAAAGTAAAACCACAAAAATACTGAACACCGAAGAAAATTCAAAAAGAAAGTCCGTAATCAAATGGCAAAATCAAAAGCTCAAACACATCAAACGAATGGATAACAACTGTCATGTTCCTGACTTGGTACAGGCATTTTCTAATGTAGAAAACGGTGGATTTAACCTGGTTTTAAAGCTAGCTAAACCTCTCATTTGTATGGCAGTCGCATCAAACTCCATTATATTGACAACGATGTGTCAACAGATATGACAAAAAGCTACAGGAAATCTGTTAGCTTATACAACTGTGTTTGTGATACTTATGTCTAATTAATTAATAGCTTATTTGTCAATTCCATAATTGGCCATGTAATTAAACACAAACCTTTGCAGCTTAGAACGAATATGAATTCAATGATAACAAAAGCTATCGCAAATACTAAATTTATCTACTATCTGTAAATTCAGAAATTATTGCGATGTTTTTATTATTGCGAAAAATTCGACAGGGTTATAATCGCAATAATTTCAACTCGCATTTTGAATTTTTTTATATAAATTAAACAGGAATTTTCTCAATATCGCAAAAATTCAAATCACATTTTAGTCCAAAATGACAAAATAGCAATAATAAATGCACGCAATAATTTTTGAATTTACAGCATGTGTAATATTTCAGTTTTTCAAATTTTGTCATTCCATTTGATCTTATGTAAACACGGTTTATATAAACAGTTTTAAAATCAATAGTTATTTTTATTTTATTGAATTAATCAAGACGCCTTCAAATCACTTTAAACTTATCATGCAATATGGCATAATTTGGGGTACTTTGCTAATTTGCATAGCTGCCATTTTGTCTTATCATGACGGCAGCCATTACAATAGGATTATATATTCCCCTTACATTAAAAATGCCAATATGCCAATTCCTATGTCGAATCAACAATTTGTGCGCATATAGGTGAATTATACATAATTTTTATTTGTATGGTTCTGTCCGTGTCAATTTTGTCCCTTGTAGAACTATTCTACAATTGACTAGGGCAAACAACTATGTTGAACGCGTGTAATAACAGAATCAAATCGGTTATTGAAAATCTACTTATTATAACCACAATAAATATTTTCATAAAATCAGTAAACAAATTATATGAAAATAACACTTTTTTTCAAATGTCGGGCTCTCTAACATGTCTACCTACATCAGGAAAACATACAAACTGGACGCTTGAAAGCTTTGAATGTATATCAAATACATGGAAACATTAGAATAATGTGATCAAAACGCCTTAAAAAATATCCAATACAATGAAAAAGAAGCGGTAATTGTCCTCCGACATGCATTAAATACGCACTTTGCAAATACACAATCAGCCAAACTGTCACAATTGGTGTATTTGCCGATCTGACTACTTAATAAATTTATTTCTGTAGATCCAATTCCTTGTTTTTATGTCATTATAGTGAGTCTAAGTTAATTATGCATACAGGCGTATACACATTTTTCTGAAATACTTCATGTATAAATATACATTATTTTTGGAAGAAATTTAGGAATAATCATCCTTACCTAATACATAAAGCTACATTTTTGTAAAATAATAATCATTATCAATAATTTTATCTTTTTAGCAACAACAGTTGGTCCTAGTAGTAAGTATTTAGAAAAAGTTAGGGTTTAAACTGCCTAATATGAAATTTCCCGCAATTCTTTTTTTTAATAAGATTTAAACAAGAGATAATTGCCTATCTAAATTGCTGACCATTTTATTATTTTGAAATCTAGCTTTTCAGAGAGGTAAACGGTTTGGATGGAATGGGGATTCTGGTCTTCATTCCATATTCTTTTTTTTAGTCCGTTTTTATCTATCCTTAAAGGGGCACTAGCTGTCAAAATCATGTTCACCGATTTGACTTAAATCTTCATATCTGATTTATAACATACTAAGACACATATCCAAATTATAATAAGTCTGACATAAACAGCTAACAATACATATGCTAGATTATATATATCAGAATTTCGTGTGTATTTAATTTAGACGGCATCTAATTAATCAGCGAGATGACCTCCGAAAACTACCAACGGTCACGTAACATGATATAAACATAAACAAACATAAAAAGATAGCGACCTCGTGCAATTGAATTTTTCTATGTCTGTTTGATTTCATGTTATAGGATATAAAGCTAAATCAATTTTTGATTCTACCTGTATAAGAATGATTTTTTTATAGATCGAATTAGTTAATCAAATGATTTACCTTTGTTTCACTTTCAATATTGACATTCTTTTCTTTTAATAAATGAACATGCAGAAATTATGCGTAATCCATCTCTAGCTAAGGGGTTACATTGAAGTCCATATGAATATGGATTCAATGAGGATGAATAACTAGTATTCACTTGAAACTTGCAAGTTAATAATTCAACATCGATGTTTCTTAGCTTATTTTGACAGATTTGAACCATACTGGCTGCTAAAAGCGAATTATAATTTCACTATTTGACTTTCGTTAATGATTGAAAAAAATAAAATCATAATTTTTTATATATCTCGAAGCTAGTGCCCCTTTAATTTTTCTGCCTATTTTACTCTATTATTTTTTATGTTAACTACGATTCAGTCTTTTTATTTAAACATCCTGATTATTCAGTATTCTTTTTATCTTAGCATATAATTATTATCTATTCTACCTTGTCCTTGTCGTCTATTTTTTGAACATTTATTCACTATTTTGTAAACTCTGTCCTTACCCTTAATAATGGGGGTAAAAATGAAGAAATTCTCAATTAAAAATGTCATGTATAGTATTTAAACCGAAAACATCCTTCATTAATTGACAGAAAAAGTTGTATAGATCTAAATGAATAATAGATATAAGAATATGTGGTATGAGTGCCAATGAGACAACTCTCCATCCAAGTCACAATTTATAAACGTAAACCATTATAGGTCAAACTAAGGCCTTCAACACGGAGCCTTGGCTCACACCGAACAGGAAGCTTTAAAGAGCCCCATTCAAACGGGAAAACCAAATCTATATTAAAAACGAGAAACGAGAAACACTTATGAACCACATCAACAAACGACAACTACTGAACATCAGATTCCTGACTTAGAACAGGTACAAACAATTAAAGCTGGTTTACACGTTTTAATGGTACCAAACCTTCACCCTGATCTGAAACAATAGTGTAAAATCACAAAAAAGCTTACCTCAATCAAACTTTACTTATCATCTACTAGTATTCTCTTATATTTTGAAGCACCGACTATTGATCCGGGTAAGTATTAATTTGAGAAGATAAGGTGGAGACAATAGTTTACCCTTCCGGAGCATCCAAGATCCGCCCCCGTTTTGAAGGCACTCGTGTTGCTTAGTCTTCAGGTTTCAGGTTTCTATGGAGTGTTCTGCGGACTGTTAGTATTTGTCTTTTCGTCATTTCGTCTTGTTTGCCATGGTAAAAAATGATTGTGTCAACCATTTTGTTGTATTTTCCGACTTCTGTACGTCTTTTCGTATTTTTTTTTTACTATATGTCATTGTTAAGTCTGTATTTTGTTAATTTATGTTTATTTACAAAACACATATAGCTTACGATTCAATTTACTAAGTAAACATAAAAAAATGTTATTTTTCTCTTATAGTTTCAAGGCAGCATTTTTTTTAGAGAGTTGTTACCTTCATTTTAATTTCTGTTTTGATAGTAGTTAAATTAACCATTTCAATTTCAGCCTTCAAATGTTTTTAGGAATGCATGATTACGAAGATGATTATGCATGGCTACATAACGTACAGCGGCAAAAAATATTTATATTCAGGACGCGAACATGTTAATGTAATATTGATATTAACCCTGCTTTGTTCTGGACCGACACATTGAGCGGGATTTTGAAAGTGCTATTTCTCAAGGTTACAGTCCAAAGAAAGATATGTCACCTAACTCAGACACATTTTTCTGGCTCCGAGCCGACCATGTCCTTTATGTCGCGTACTTAGCGGAAAAGGAGGTAACACAATTTATTATTTTAGTAAAGAAATATAAATGCTTACAAGTTCAGTTCCAGTACTGGTATATAATTTGGTGAATTTGAAATTCTGAAAACATATACTAGTAAACTTAAAATACACTTGAATAGAAAAATACATATATGTACCATTTTTCAGGTGTTAATGTCATTCGTTTGATCACCATTTTCTGTAAGTGTAAAATAACTTTACATAGCTTGTATGATTTTCATTTTTATTCTTACGTTAAAGATATATGCATTGACTTTCCTGGCATCAATTGCGCACCAATTACTTGTACTGTACCATCAATAGCCAAGTTGTGTAAGAAAACATGTGGGATATGTTTAGGTATGTATAAAATAGTTATAAATACTTGATTATGAATGAAAATACATATAAATACTGTAAATTATATTCATGGATACTTCATTTCGCGTAAGGCCCAGCACTAGCCCATTTTGCGGCGATTTAATTTCGCGATTTTCAAATTTGCTTTATGTAGTAAAATGAGGAAAGTTTTACATATTCGCGACGATTTATATTCGCATTGTTTGTCTACTAGCGAAAGACGCAAAAATAAATCGCGACAATGTCTTTCTGGCTTTCTTTTTTCCAGGATTTTTCGTTAAATATCATAAAAAGGACCCGAGGATAAGCGAACGACTCAACTATGTCTGCTGTTCATATTTTGATTACAAATATGAATTCTGTCAAACCTCGTCAAAGCGATTCGCAGCTCCCTATATGTATTGTATAGACTCCTTTCGTCCAAGGAACATAAATGTAACATTTACAGTTTCAATGAGTTGGATGTGTAATTCATTATCATAAGTCGTAAAATCCCGCCCCTTTTACCGAATGTGACCTACCGAGTTAGAGCTATTACCGGGTTTGTACTAACATGATCAAAACGACTTGTTCACGATATGAAGCAAGATCTGCGTACCCTTACAGAACACCTGAGATCACACCCAGTTTTTGATGGGTTCGTATTGCTCAGTCTTTAGTATTCTATGTTTTGTTTTGTGAATTGTTCTTTGTCTGTAGGTCTTTTTCTTTTTAGCCATGGCATTGTCAGTTTATTTTCGACTTCGGAGTTTGAATGTCCCTCTGGTATAACATCAACGATTCTAGACTTATAATTGTGTACGCCAGACGCGCGTTTCTTCAACGAATGAATTATCAGTGACTCTTGAATAAAAAAAGGCCAAAAAATAACGAATTTTGAAACCATTGAGGTTTTGCCAAATACAGCCAAAGTTGTCTATTTCTGGTTTTGAAATGTCATAAATATGATGATCGGAGTTTTTAACGACCTTGAATGGCTATACAGCCCTAGCACGGTCTATATCATAAATATGTCGAACCATCCAAAGTTTTGTGAGCAGTTAATTTATGAATATGACCATATAAATGATACAGAGATATAGGAAGATGTGGTATGAGTGTCAATGAGACAACTCTCCATCCAAGTAACAATTTATAAAAGTAAACCATTATAGGTCAAGGTACGGCCTTCAACACGGAGCATTGACTCACACCGAACAGCAAGCTATAAAGGGCCCCAAAAATTACTAGTGTAAAACCATTCAAACGGGAAAATCAACGGTCTTATCTATATAAAAACGAGTAATGAGAACCACGTATGAACTACATAAACAGACGACAACTACTGTACATCAGATTCCTGACTTAGGACAGGTGCAAACATTTGCAGCTGGATTAAACGTGTTAATGGTACCAAACCTTCTCCCTTTTCTGAAACAATAGTATAACATCACAACATAGAAAGACACACTATAAAATATCAATTGGAAGGCTGAACTCAATCAAAAAACGTAAATTAACACACAATGAACGAATAAATTTGATCTGTGATACCTGAATGCAAATACATAGTTAATAAAAATGTATGTTATGTGAATACATAAGGGCGAACTATTGGACTGATTAAGCTCCTTCGTATGGAAACTTCCACTAGCAATGTCATAATGCATACAAGTTGTATTTAGAAATAGGCAGATGTTGTATGACTGCCAATGAATCAACTGTGAATCAAAGTCCAAATAACATACATATTATCAATTATAGATCACCGTAAGGACTTCAACAATGAGCGCAGTCCATACCATAGAATATAAAAATAAGAAGCTGTAGTACGATTGCCAATATGACAACTCTCAACAAAAGTCAAAATGATACAGATATTGACAACTATACGTCCTTAAGCAATGAATACCGCCTAGTCAGCTTTAAAAGGCCCCGAAACGACTAATGTAAAACAGTTCGAACGAGAAAACAAACTGCCTGATGTATGTTCAAAATAATGAACGGAAAAAAAATATGCTATACAGCAACAACTAGAACCACTTAATAACTGGCTCCTTATGTAAACTAAGCTTTATAAGGCACTGCCATGAGAAAATATAAAACAATTCAAACGTGAACACAAAAGGCTTGATATATGACATATCAATAAACGCAAAAAAACAAGTATGACAGACAGCAATCATCAAAAATCATTGCATTACAGGCTCAACTTTGTTGCATTGTTAGGTTAACCTGGAATCCATTCAAGCTGTGGTAGATGTATAAACTTACTCGTCAAACCGAAATTATATTTAGAATTTTATTTCCCAACCCATGATTTGACATCTGTATCGTAGAGATAGTTCAAAGTTAAAATTTAGTTTAGCTGAAATTATCCTTCCCTTGCTTTTGTTTTAAAAACATTATCAAGATCTTTTAACGGTTGCATGTTTGAAACATAGGAGGCCTTTATAATTAAATTAAGGTTCATTATGTTGATAGAGCCCCAGAGTAGACAGATGCAACTGTAATATGGCAAGCCACTTGTGTATTTACTCCCTTTCTTTTGATATCAATACGTTACTATCAACATGTTAATAAATGATTGATACAATTATTATACAAATGATGACATTGTTTTAAATATTTTGTAACTTGTTGAAAATGTGTATGTTTTGTATATTATGTATTTAACATTATCAATATCGTCATGATCATGGATGACATATTTGCGACTGAACATTGAGCAACCATCAATCTATCAATCAACTTAAAATAAAACTAAGATTGCAAATCATACGATTGTTTGCTTGTCTTTCAGCACACATTCAATAAGATAAATCACATTAATTGTTATGTTTGATTGACTTATTGTTGGTTGCTTAACGCCCATAGACAAATATTTCATGGACGTTCAGGAAGAGATCAAATTCACAAAAAACATAACAGGTAGGTAGATAAAAAAAGATGTGTTATGAGTGCCAATGAGACAACCGTCCATCCGAGTCATAACTTATAAAAGTAAACCATTATAGGTCAAAGTACGGCCTTCAACACTGAACCTTGGCTAACACCGAACAACAAGCTATAAACAGAAAAATCAGTCTAATCTATATAAACAACGAAAAACGAGAAACACTTATACACTACATCAACAAACAACAAGCACCGAACAACAGGTTCGAGACTAAGGACATGTGCACAAAAATGCACCGGATTTAAACGTTTTAACTGGCGCGAACCTTCACTCTTACCTGTGTTGTTACAAGGGTTTGTAACGAGTAATGTATTAGACTGTTTGGGATAAATGAACCCATTGAACACATATATGTACTGTTTAAATTAATTATGCTCGCCCCTCTGTTTAAAAAAACCAAGCATTTTAAAAGACAGTTATGAATTGATAGCATATGAATAACGGAACTTATAAAGTAGAAAAATGGGTTCGTGTCCATGTTTTTAAGATATAAACAATTGAAAATTGTGTGGGAAATCATTCTCTCTACATTTTTTATACATTTAACATAGGCACTTTTCTTTCAAAAACTATGAAATAGTAACAAGGATTTTATAAAACTTTCATTAATGGCGTTTTAAACTATGGCATGTAATTAAATCATGAAATGAAAAATATGGGTTAGCGGGTAATAATTTCATTTGCACTACACGGACGAAACTAGAGGATTCCTAACATCTGACAAACAGTCAAAAGTAAGAGTAGCGAACATCCTTCAGGTTGTATACATTTCACTTGATATAATTTATACCTCTGCTAATGTTTTATTTTCGTTTTGTGTAACATTTTTATTTGTGTTTATGATTCGTAAAGCTGTTGTTTTTTTTAAGTTTCTTGCTTTTGTTGTTTGTTTGCTTTATTTGTTCTTATCTTGGATTTTTTCAGATATGCCATCTTGTTACAAAACTATCTTAGCTAATAATATTTTATATAAAGGTTATTTTGATATATTTTTGGTTTGTTTTTCAGCCTCAAGTACAGCAGGTAAAACCATTTTTTTTGTGCACAAATACAAAAATGTTATAATAACTATATGAATAAGAGACAGGAGAAAGATTCCAAAGGGACATTCAGTTTCTCATAAGTCGAAAATAAACTGAAAACGCCATTACTAAAAAAGAAAAAAGACTAACAGACAAACAATGATACACAAAACACAACATAGAATACTTAAAACTAAGCAATAATTAGTTGCAATAAGAATATGTTTCTTAATGATTTAAGTGATCACAGATATGTGATATTATAATTTAGTTTGTTTACGCATACACTTTTTCTGTTGACTATTTTATTATTTCTGCATATTTCAGCTTATATGTTTTTTAAGTTTAATTAATTTGTTTGTCCGTGTTTTGTTTTACGTCTTTTTCTGTAACAATGTTATATTGTTATATTTGTATGTTTTTATCTATGAATATGTTCTTATTTAGATTTTTCATTTTGTCACAAAACTATCTATGTTTGAACAAGTTTAAATATTTCATGTTTGTTTGTTTTTTCAGCCACCACTACACTAGGTAAACACATTTACTGTTTATGGATATTCAGATGATATATTCTCTGTATCAAACCATATTTTTATATATTTATTTACGAATGAAATTTGTCCACCTGCCCTCAAATGGTGATTAAAGTTTATCTTCAGACATTGATATATTAATCAATTGATTGATTGGTGTTTAACGTCACTTTCAGCACTATTATGCTATTTCGTGAAGTTCAGTTTTTTATTGGTGGAGGAAGCCGGAGTGCCCGTAGAGAACCAACGACCTTTGCTAGAAAACTGACAATCGTAGTCAATTAAGATTAGAGTCGAGCGCACCTACCACGTGCGGTATTCGAACTCACCTGTTTTTACTGTCTAGTGATACAGTAGTTCGAGAACTTACACCACTCGCCACCGATACCCCCAAGACCTTGATATAAGAACTGCACAGTTAGTATAGAAACCAACATGATATATTTTCCTTTCCTTAATGGGGGTATTTCTATTTGAGTGTGTATATTCGATAGGCGCAAGTCTGGGATTGCAATTTACATAACATCTTCAATAGAAAATGTTTACAGCATGAATAAAAGTATTTAAATTAGTCAACGCTTTTAAACAATTGTAAAACACATACAGAAATTATGATTCGACGTGCAGAAGTTGAATACATAGTTGTATTTTGCATCCGACTTTTTACAGTTACGTTGTAACTTAATCTAAATGCAACAAATTTAGAAAATTATGCTGTTTTGTCTCCTCACTACAATTTATCTGTTTTAAGATGAACATGAATTCACTGTCTTGAAGCAAAACTAGAATGACTCTTATTTGTATACAGTTTATATTAGTTTCCGATATTTAACAGAGTCATATCTTCCTGTACTATATTTGCACAAGCGCATCATATTAAAAATGTACGCAATTTTAGCGCAATTTACAACCACATACATTAACATAAAGATGCATTCGATTCTTATAATTACATATTATGCTGCAGCAATGAATTTGCCAGCCAAAACGAGGACTCTGATTGTTTTCCTATGCATTGTTTTATTGTTGTGACGGAGTGCACGTACAGTCGTAGATCGGAAGCATTTTATACTTAAATAAAATTTAAATTTTGGAATGCCTCGGCCAATCAAAACTTAGGAATCGCATGAAATTTCAATGTGAGGAAATTATCATTACAAATAAACAATTCAAATGAACATATTTCAGTGCGTTTCAAGCTTACACATTGCAAATATCAGAATACAGAACAATTCCCTTATTGTATCATTTTAAAATAACAGTTACAATTATAGTAATGCAGCCAATATATAGGCTAATATGATTTCAATATCGACAGGGACAAAATTTGTAGGTTATTGATTTTATTTTGATTTGTATGTTTTTATCATTGTGCAAGTTTTAATTAAGATTCTTTCTTTTTTGTCAGAAAACCATCTATGCTTGAAAAAGTTTTAATATTTTCTGTTTGTTTTTTAGCCGCCACAACACCAGGTAAACACAGTTCCCGTATTTTTTCATTAAAACATCAAAATTGTCGGTTACCAATTTTGTATAACAGACATTTTAAGTTGTACCTTAAGGATGTAATCAGCTCAAATTAAGGATTTTTTTTCAGAAGTTCGGACTCCTTTGGTTTTTCCCACGATAGAAGGTAAACAGACTTTGCTCCTTATAACCCACCTTTCTTTTCTTAGAAGACTTCAATAGCTCATAAAAAAGTCATTGCCAAAATTTTAGCAGATTCTAGATTTTTTTCTTACGATTTGAGAAACCAAATAATGCCAATGCTAAAATAAGGTAAAAGTCCGAGTCGGCCTTTCCCGCCATTTATTGAAAATCAAAGATCTCAAAAAGGAGTTCCATAGTCTATCAATATTTTTAGCTTGTCTTGTTCTTTAACTAATGCCCTTCTTACTTATAGTATCAATTTTAAATTCTAGATATTTTATGATTTCATCTAACTACATCCTTAAATGACATTATAGAAAAGACCCCAAAACATGTCTGGATTAATTGTAATGACAGATGATATACATGTATGAAACTGCAGTGAAGTAAATTGAATACTTTTAACCAACTTATTGCGGATAGTTTATTTTGCGTTTAACCCTTTCAAGCCAACATTGCGCCGATTTCAATTTGCGATTTTGAAATTTACGTAATGCAGTCTAATTTTGACGGATCTAAGTTTTACATATTCACGACGATTTATATTCTCGTTATTTTCTATTCGCGAAAATAAATTGCTCGAAAAAATTAGTTGGTTTACAGTTCCAACAATGTGGTGGTGGTTAACGTAAATATTTCACTTTGTCCTTAAGAATGAAATTCTATATTCAACAACATTCAAGGCCGTACGCTCCACAGAGAATAAGATAGTAAATACTCATTACACTACCTCAGCTCAGCCCAAGGCCCCCTCTGAACATTTGAAAGTCCCCACTATGTATTGGTTACCTAAACTACACAAAAAAAAACGTAATTTATCGTTTCATCTCGGCCTCTAGTAAGTCTCTACAATTAAACTGTCAGTGCTTTTAACGAGTTCCTTAACTACTATCAAGGGACTTATCATTAACTTTTGTAATAAAGCATGTGAAAATAGTGGAATTAACTATATTTGAAGAGTAAAAAAATCTTTGGATGTTTTACTTTGGATGTTTGTTTTTGTTGCGGTTCAGTGTTTCTGTTGTTTCGTTGTTTTCCTCGTATAGTTGATGTGTTTCCCTCGATTTTGTTTTGTGACCCGGATTTGTTTTCGCTTAATCGATTTATGACCTTTGAACAGCGGTATACTGCTGTTGCCTTTATTTATATAAATTACGTGCTTTGAATGGTCCATTCGATTCGGTTGGCCGTTCTTACTTTTCCACTCTTTATACTACACTTCCAAACAATCTTATCAAACAAAAGTTTTCTTACCTAACTTTATGGTCGTTTGATAAATCTGATTTATTTGTTGAAACTTATATAAATCCTTTTTCTGTAATGAGAGAGGTAAATATGCGTGATATATTTACTGGAGGTGTGATGACATGATTAAAGGTGTATATTTTCTCTTCGACAACATTTATGTACGTTTCGGCAATAAAGTTTATAGATAGGCTGTAGGTATTCCTGTGGGCACCAATTGTGCCCCTTTAATACCAGACTTGTTCCTGTACTGTTATAAATTACAGTTTATGGCCAAACTCAGTAAAGACCCGTCTAAATTTGATTTAGCTGATAAATTCAACAGCACTGAGTCTTAGATACATGATTTTTTTATTAGTTGTCATTAGCTTTGAACTAGCTGTCAGTAACTGCGAGTACTCTCAGAACTTTACTTAGCGTCTGTTTTTATGTGGGGATGTATAGATACGGTGCCACATCCGGTCTGTGTTTTCGTTATATGTTTTCTGCTTTGTATCGACCTGATGAGTGAAAACCTTTTCAACTGATTTACGTTTACGTGACGTATTATGGTATACCGTTGTCCGTCCGTCGTCAACATGTCGGACAATAACTCAAAAACGCTTTAACCAATTTGCATGAAACTTTGGTGAATAGTTAAAATCTATTGACGTAAGCCTTTCGATTTTTTTTTTAATTATAGATTTTACGTTTCCGAGTTATAAGGTTTTATTCATTAAAAAAGGGGGATTTTTCAGTTTTAGGACAATAACTCAAAAGTGCTTTGAGCATTTATCGTGAAACTTTGGTGACTGGTATATATCTATCAAAACAACCTCCCTTTAGTTTTTTTTTTATAAATATCTGATATGACATTGAGGAGTTATGTAACTTTTTTCGTTGAAAAAGCGTCGGGCGTATCATGCACTCTTGGCGCAGCTCTTTAATATAGTTCGTTCTTATGTTGTACTGTTACACCACTGTCCAAGGTAAGGGGTAAGGATTGCCGCAAGGACACTAGTTTAATCCTGCCACACTCTGTATGCGCCTGTTCCAAGCCAGGAGCCTGTAGTTCAGTGGTTGTCGTTGGTTTATGTCTGTCATATTTGTTTTCCGCAAATTGTTTTGATATCAATTAGGTGGTTAGTTTTCCCAATTGAATTGTTTCATATTTTTCATGTCGGAGTCTTTATAAGCCGACTATGCGGTATGGGTTTTTACATTGTAGAAGGCCTTACGGTTGCCTATAATGGCTTACACCGACCTCATTTGAACTTTGGTTGATAGTTGTCGCATTGGCAATCATAGCACATCTATATTTTATTTACAAGTATTTGGGTTTTTTTTATATCGTTTATATCATAGAGGTACATTGGAATATTTTATTTGTGGAATCAGAAGGTCATGATCTGCAATGTGATTGAGCGTGTACCCTGATTTCATGTTTGCAATTATATGAATTCAAAAGTTGAAGAGCAATGCAAACAAAACGATTTCGTTCTCAATAATTCAGATGTGTTATTCAGCAAATGTCCATATATATTTTAAAGCAGAACAAAGCATTTTTGTCAGTCTTAACTCTATTTTTGCTACATTTTTCAGGCTGTACTGATCAAGATCCGATACCAGATTGTCAGTGTGAATATTTAGATCGAGAAGCTAATTTATGCGCAGAATCAGAGAGGGTTGAAGATTTGAAAAGATTTTGTTGTTACTATTGCAACAAAAAGAAGAATATCTTTACTTGTCCTAATGTCGCATGTCTTCGTCTAGAAAAACCTGAACAGGCAGAGTAAGTTATTCATAGTATCCTGCATTCTGATAGTTTTACAAAGAAAAAACCCAAAATTTGTCATACCTTAATTATTTAGATTTTTTAAAGGTTTTATTGATGTAAGTATTTGTTCAGTCTCTTTCAATTCAATTATCTAAAATATTATACATTTATTGCAATCTGCACATGGTGAAACTTTACATTCCACTAAAATACTGATTTGTTTTATTTTCAGGGTGGACAAAATGCCAAAACCGATTGACTGTATTTCCAATTAACTAGATGTTTGCAGTACAGAAATTGTGTTGAAACATTTTAGAAATAAATCGGGTTTTTTTGTAGTTATTAACAACCGTGTCCTAGCTGATATTAAAAAGGCCTATTTCAAGAAAAAAAAATGAAACTGAAATTATGCTTGATTAGAAGCAGACATTTTGCCTTGCAACAGACAACTCAGTGACTCAAAGAGTTGTTGCAGGTTTTTGTCAATGTGCAGAGAGCGTTACACAATTTCAATGCGAGGTATCAGATTTTAACTTCCAAATTTCGAACGGGCAAGTTGTGTAGCCAACTGGGCGCAGCATTTAAGCAATTCGAACGGACTAGTTGTGCATCCAACTGGGCTCAACATTTTAGCAAGGTTTTTAACTGCTGGAACGGGGCAAATCCATGGGATTACATATTTCTATTTCACAGTCAACATTTCAAACAAGGTTTCTTCTTGAGAGATACATAATCATCGATTATGACTCATCAACGTATTCTAATAGGAGTAACATGATGTATGTCACTTAGGGACGGAACTGCGTTTCTTTCAGGAGCACTTGATTTCAACCACTTTTTGATGAATTCCGTGTTGCTTAATCGCTAGTTTTCTAAGTGGGTTGTGAATTGTTGTCTGTTTTCTAGTTGTTTATCGTATTGTTGATGGTTTTGTTTTTTTCTTTGATTTGACGGCCAATTTGGTATCTTCTTACTTTGAATATCAGAACGTTGTAATGATATTTAATTAATGTCACTTTTCTGTAATAGCAACAGTTCCTTCCGATAATTTTGAATTCAGTTGCAACGCAATAATAATAAGAATATAAAAAAAAAGAAAATAGCAATATATTAAAAAAGGTTATTTCTGATTTAACTCAATTTTACAATCAATTTGGACGTTATAAATGCACAACATATCGACATCAAATGTTCTTTTAAGAAGCAATTAAAGTCAAACACAGAAACACATATTTACAAAAGGACTTTATGGTATGATTGCCAATGAGACAACTCTTCACAAGAGACCAAATGACACAGAAATTAACATTTATAGGTCACCGTACGGCCTTCAACAATGAGCAAAGCCCAGACCGCAGTCAGCTATAAAAGGCCCCGAAATGACAAATGTAATCAATTCAAACGAGAAAACTAACGGCCTAATCTATGTACAAAATAATAAACGAAAAACAAATATGTAACACAGCAACAAACGACAACCGCTGAATTACAGGCTCCTGACTTGGGACAGGCACATACAGAATGTGGCTGGGTTGAACATGTTAGCGGGCGTCCAACCCCCCCCCCCCCCCCCCCTCTTACCTGGGACAGTTGTGTAACAGTGCAACATAAGAACAAACTATAAAAATCAGACGGATACAAATAGAAATACATCTAACAAAAACACAGAGTGGACGTGGCCGGGTAATTGTACATTATAACAACAAAAAGACACTAAGTACAAATCTGAGAGTACTCGCAATTACTGACAGGTAGTTCAAAGCCAATAACAACAAAAAAAATACCTAATTTGGATTACTTAAATATTTGAAGACTACTTTCTCGTTGTAAACACCTTGTCCCTTCAATGAAGTAAATACAGAACAACTATTTTTGTTAAAAAAAATAAAACATTGTGATGTAACACTATTGTTTCAGAAAAAGGGTGAAGGTTTGGTACCATTAAAACGTTTAAACCCGCTGCATTTGTTTGCACCTGTCCTAAGTCAGGAATCTGATGTTCAGTAGTTGTCGTTTGTTGATGTGGTTCATAAGTGTTTCTGGTTTCTCGTTTTTGGTATAGATAAGACCGTTGGTTTTCCCGTTTGAATGGTTTTACACTTGTAATGTTTGGAGCGTTTTATAGCTTACTGTTCGGTGTGAGCCAAGGCTCCGTGTTGAAGACCGTACTTTGACCTATAATGGTTTCATTTTATAAATTTTGACTTGGATGGAGAGTTGTCTCATTGGCACTCATACCACATCTTCTTATATCTTTATACATGTAATACTTGGTTAAAAAAACGGTACAATGCAAGACTTTGTGTTTTGAGATTAAGTTTGGTGTTCGTGTTAAACTTTAACTCTCATAACGGTGCCATATTAAATATTTTGGAGAACAACAACAATCATGAATTGGAATCATGCGACGTGCAAGTTAAGTCTTTTACAACAACACAGATAAGACTAAACAGATAAAAATTTGTTACATAATTAATTTGTATTTTTGTTTGAATTTTTTATTCAGTTGTGTTGTTTGTCAGTGATGTATGTTTACACAGATTTAACTACTGGATCCCAATTATTATCACATTAACCTATTATGTCTGTTTGGCAATATAACGGAACTATAAAAAAAAACTGTCATACACTCGGGAGGTTAGCTAGCTGTAAAATCAGGTTTTACCCACCATTTTCATCGTAAAATGCCTTTATCAAGTCAGGAATATGGCAGTTGTTTTTCACGTCCTTGTGTTGATTGATGGTGTTTGATTTTGTCAGTTTTTTTGGACTTCACTTCTTTGATTTGCTTTTGAGTTCGGTATTTTTATTTTACTTTTTACCCAGGTCACAAAAAATACTTTTAACGATCAGCTACTGTATAAATCTATGTTTATACGTACAATGCATTATAAATGCACACAGGGTTGCTGCTCACAAGTAAGCTATTAAACCAAGAGTTCCATTTGGTGAAGTTGAAATCATCCCTTCGTAAATTTTACGGACGACATCTCGAGTTTGTTAACCGTTATGGAATATCTGTTTCACAGATGACGACGGATATGTTCAAATTGTCGTAACTACAATCTCGTCCCCTCCTCCCCCGAATGTGACCTACCGAATAAGATATATCACCGGGTTTGTACCTACATGAGCAACACGACGGTTGTCACATGTGGAGCAGAATCTGCTTACCCTTCCGGAGCACCTGAGATCACCCCCAGTTTTTGGTGGGGTTCGTGTTGCTCAGTCTTTGGTTTTCTATGTTGTTCTGTGTACTGTTGTTTGTTTTTTTCTGTTGTATCCATGGCGTTGTTAGATTATTTTCGACTTGTGAGTTTGAATTACCCTTCGCCTAGATTGTAGAGTTTCAGTATGAGACGTGTTTCAAAGATTTCACTTGCGTTCAAAATAATAAACTGACAAGAGAGAGGCCAAAGATACAAAAGGAACATTCAAAGTAATAATTCGAAAATAAACTGAAAATGCGATATAAAAAACAGACAAAAAAACAAACAACAGTATACGAAACACAACATAGAAAAAACTTCACACTGAACAACACAAAAAACACAAAAAACCGGGGCTGATCTCAGATGCTCCGGAAGGATAGGCAGATCCTGCTCCACATGTGGTAGCCGTCCTGTTGCTCATGTAAGTTTAAATGCGGTGATAAGTCTAATTCAGTAGGTCACAATCGCGATAATAGGAGGACGGGATTCTTGTTACGACGATTGGAACATATATTTCATAACGGTCAACCAACTCGTGATGGCGTCCGTAAAATTGTCGAAGGGATGATTTCAACTTTACCGCTTGGAACTCTTGGTTTATTAGTTTCCTTGTGATCAGCAATGTGACTTTTATTAAATATTTATCAGAGTTTTTGGTATTCAAGTGTTACCCATGACACACTTAAAAATTCAACATGTACAATAAACGTCAAAGAAATTTTAGTTACACAGACACAAACAAATTCCACAGTAAAAGACAAACTTAATTTTTTTTTTAAATCGCTCAAAATGACAATTTCATCAATAAATAAAATATTTTTACATATCAATATAAGATAACTATACTGGTCAACTTATTTACGAACGCGATCAAAATAGGTGCTTTTATCTAAAACTTTGCCCTGAAGCATACAACACACTCTAATCTTTGCTGTGGTATTGCCCAGCAACAAAAAAAATATATTCATCTTTTACATGCTTTAATCAAGAATTATATAAAGTACCCATCAATTACAATAAATCGAGACCAATTGATGATAAGTCAATACGCAACATTCAGGCGAAAATATAATAAATTAAAAATGTATAAAGTTAACATGTTCATGTCAAAAGAAAGGCAACCTGATTTGCATGAAAATGCTAGATTAGTATATTTCTCTCGTGCAATGCTTTTATTTCATGCCCGTCCTTGGCCATTCTTTTTGTCCCTTTTAGTTTATAAGATCTTTCTTTTTTTATATAAGTTTTGGAGTTATACATGTTATAAAATATATATAAATAAGGAGATGTTGTATGATTGCCAATGAGACAAATTTCCACCTAAGTTCAAGTGGATGTAAGCAATTTTAGGCAACCGTACGGCCTTCAACAATGAAAAAAGTCATACCGTATAGTCGGCTATTAAAGTCCCCGACATGATAAATATGAAAAAAATCAATTAGGAAACTAATTTATAACAAAACAATTTGCCAAAAACAAATATGACAGACATGAACCAACGACAACCACTGAACTATGTTGGCCTCTGGCATTTTTCTATTTATATTATTACTACCACTGGATCGATACCTCTGCTTGTACCACTGGATCGATACCTCTGCTTGTGGACTGTTTACTCGAGGGTTTCACTACCCCAATAGCCAGTACTTCGGTACTGGCATCAACTGATAAAAAAAAATGAAAACAACACGTTAAATAATATCATGCGTCTGACGCGCTTTTCTGGGTTTACCTTCAACAGAATCGATCAAAGCCGAATATCTAAAAGCCAAGAATGTGTAAGAACCGAAACAGTTGAAGAACTTTATGAGGATATTTAAAGTTTGCTGTTACCAAATTTTGGAAATTATTTTAAATTAAGGAATATACCTACCAAATGCAAATTTCTGATAACATGTCTGGCTTTAGTTACATTGTTTGCCACGGTTGCCACATGTCGAGCAGGATCTGCTTACCCGTCCGATCAGCTTTACATTTTGTTTATTAGCTTTACATTTTTTGAATACGTTTGGGATTTTTCAATTATTTTGGCATCAAGAAACACTGTAGAGACATTTATTGTTAAAATACGCATTTGATGAAGTAAAATTGGTACCGTTAATGTTATTGCAAGGTAAAGGTCTGTCTATATTTTGAATGATGTACTCCTTAAAATAATCAGAATATTCTAACTACGTGCTAGGCATTATGATATTGTATAAAATGCTGTCAAACATCAGACATTTAAATTTAAGTACTTAGTTTGAACCGGCCAGGTCCAACACACGACCTCATACACTCAGGACAAGCACACTATCAATAAACAACCGATATGTATGGGGACAATTTATAAATTGTTCTGAACATTGTTAGTGCATATGATACAATAAGGACAAAGATAACATCTTATCTGTTATTGAGAGAAAATGGCAGACATTTCGTTAACATTCGGTAATATTTCCATTTTTACCCTTTTCGAGTTAATTCAATAGATTGATCAATTAAAAACCCACCAGTATAAGCTGTTTTAATTAATGTATAATTAAAGTAATAAACTTACATTTTATCTGAAAAATATTTTTATATCACGAACACCTACGATCATGTAATATCATG